TACGCGGAATTAAACATATATTTTCACGGTTGTGAATTTAATCAGAACACATCAAATTATAAAAACCTAAAGTGTACGGCCCGGTGGATTTTTACCCCCGGAATTTTACCCCCCAGATTTTTACCCCCCGAATTTTACCCCCTGGCCAGATATATAAATTAGTGAGAATGATTAATTATTATCTTCATTCTGTTAAAGTTTAATAATAAACATTTCATTATTAAGTAGCCTATCTTAATTTATTTGTAACATCAACTAATCAAACAGGTTTTTGATTTTAATTTTGAGATTCGAGTATCAGGATTCGATCTTTGAAAGCCAATTAATCTTTGAAGCCAACTGTTGATTAATATGACGTATAAACAAACATCAGAATGGTAATTGATTCGAAGATTTCTTTAACGATTTATCATACAACCGTGGTAAAACAATGTTTTTCGTTTGTATTGTAACAATAACAAAATATGCTTTATTGTTTCTTTAATACGTTCAGAAATGTTCACCCAATTATCATTTAAATGAGCTACTCAGTTTATTTTACACACTTATTAACCAACAGTTGGCCCCAAACTTAAATCCCGAACATCAAAATTAAAAAGCGAATTCTGTTTACTTAGTTGAGATTACAAAATAAATAAATAAAGATATGCTACTAAATAATGACATGTTTCCAATTAATTAAAAACAGAAATAAGAAAATCAATAATTTAATTACTAAAATCGGCCAGGGGGTAAAAATCTGGCACGTAGGCCTACATCTTCAGTTGTCTAAACGCTAGTTAAATGGACAGGGAGTAAAATTCCGGGTTTTATCGCTAATCTAATTAATCACGCTCTGACTATTTTCATCAGACTTCCAAATCGGCGGGGGTAAAATTCCGGCCGCGAACAAACTTTTGGCCACTCATGTTACTACGTCATAGTGACGTCAACTTTGCCTACTGGGTAAAATTCCACGGGGATAAAATTCCGGCGACCCGTAATAATGTGTCATCTTATATAAAAAATTATGTGCTTCAGCTGAACTTTTCCTGCCATTTATTTCGTCAAACAAGATACAATGACAATCTCTGTTTGTATCATAAATTGTAAATTATAATAAATTTAAGAATCTCCGCCCGAGGGGATATTTAGAATTGCCTCTAGGTCAAACGTAATAGAGTGAAAATTTAAAAAACGTACGTTTTCAGGAAAAGCACTTTGCAAATTTTTTTCCCCTTTTTTCAAAACTTTTATTATTATTTTTATTTCATTAACATTTGAAGTTTCATAAAATGTCCATGGTAACGCAATATCTTTGGTATTTTTTAAAAAAAAGAGCATCTTTAGTGGAAAAACACAAAATCCTGTCACGACCATAACAGACGTTTAAATGAATATTAAAAATAGTTAATATTATTTTTATAGCTATGTTTTGCTATAAACTAATTTACTTTTATGACCATTATACAATAAAAAGGCCACTGAGCTTTTGGTATATGTGGTCTTTCTAAAAAAAAATAAAAAAAACTCAAAAAATTGAAAAAAAACAATAAAATCTTTTTAAGTTTGTATAACTCCGAAAAAACGTACCTGAGACCCAAAAAATCGTTATGTTTGTATAGAGGTGTGCTTCTTTTGTGTATAAAACATTGAAATATGACGATATTTAAATTTTTTGAATTTCTATGATAGAATTCATACACGTGATGGTCAGGGACAAGCGGTACGGTCGTGAATTTTCTGAAATAATCTAAATCTTTCTAAACAATCCTTCAGTTATACTGTTAGTTATAATAAAAATAAGTGTTTCAATTGAACTAACTGTTCAAATTACAATTATATTAAAGTTATTGTCACGACCAAACACACTATAATCCATAAGGCTAGATTGGTCGGGAAAAAAACCGCGATGGTCGTGAAACTTTGGTCGTGAAATTACGTGTTATTTGGCTCTGTTCTGGCGGTAGCACTGCACCTCATGTTCGAGGATACAAAGTGGACTTCTAGGTTAATCTAGCAATTGAAATATCTTATAAACAAAAATTAACACAATGTCTACTTCATCGAATGACTACGTACGGTCATGGACACACCAAAATTACAAAAAACACAATCTTTCCTTTATTAATCTTGTAATTCCTCCTTTCAACTCGAAACGACCGGCACTACAATCCTGACGTATACCCCGAACTAGTCTCTAAAACCAACTGACTCCATCGACGCCAGGCTTGCCACTGTCGTGCTCCAAAGTTGAAAATTTTTCCCAAATGGTCGTGACGCCAAATCGAGGGACAGACTTACACGTGATGGTCAGGGACAAGCGGTACGGTCGTGAATTTTCTGAAATAATCTAAATCTTTCTAAACAATCCTTCAGTTATACTGTTAGTTATAATAAAAATAAGTGTTTCAATTGAACTAAACTGTTCAAATTACAATTATATTAAAGTTATTGTCACGACCAAACACACTATAATCCATAAGGCTAGATTGGTCGGGAAAAAAACCGCGATGGTCGTGAAACTTTGGTCGTGAAATTACGTGTTATTTGGCTCTGTTCTGGCGGTAGCACTGCACCTCATGTTCGAGGATACAAAGTGGTCTTCTAGGTTAATCTAGCAATTGAAATATCTTATAAACAAAAATTAACACCATGTCTACTTCATCGAATGACTACGTACGGTCATGGACACACCAAAATTACAAAAAACACAATCTTTCCTTTATTAATCTTGTAATTCCTTCTTTCAACTCGAAACGACCGGCACTACAATCCTGACGTATACCCCAAACTAGTCTCTAAAACCAACTGACTCCATCGACGCCAGGCTTGCCACTGTCGTGCTCCAAAGTTGAAAATTTTTCCCAAATGGTCGTGACGCCAAATCGAGGGACAGACTTATTTTGTCATGGTAGTCAGTTTGCAATGACAATAAAATTATAATATCCTCCTTTTTTGTAAGTTTAATAACCATTGATGACATAAAAATATGGCTTTATATATTTCGGCATGAATAATTAGTCTAAAAACAGCGTGAAAGTTGGAAAATGTACCCTAGGGACACGTCATGGTCGTGAATTTCGAGACTTTAAAAATACGAAAAAAATACCTAGAACCTATTTAAAACCAAATAAATGTGTGTAACATGTTGCCCCCGTCCCAAAAAATATTAAAACACATAATAATAAACTACAAATCCAGTATCTACAAAGTAAAAGGCCAGGGACATGAAAACGTACGTTTTTAAATTTTCACTCAATAGCCCCTTTTGTGATGTCAGTTTCAGCATATTTTTTGTCTTCCTTTTTAATTGCCATCACGTCTTTCATGAGTTTGTAGTTCCCATTCATTTTCAATATCTGACTGTCCCTAGGGTAAACATATGAGTTACCCATATTCAACCATTAATTACAAAATTATTAATTACGCTCAATAACCCCGTAGACCGATTTACCGAAATAACAATAATAATAAATACAACACAATAACAAGTCGTTAAGGAGTGGACTGTTATATATACTGATCTTTTTGACTTGAAAAATGACAATTTAAGGACAGTTTTCTTATTGAATATACTTTTTCATCACTCCGTAACGAAAGTAACTATTTTCTAGATGATTTTACCTATTAAAGCTGCCAGAATTTTTCTATATGCGTGTATAAACTAGCAGTTCTGCATTGTTTCATTTTTAATAGACTACTTCATTCCCGTACGTAGGACAGGTTAACAGCTAGTTAGATATAAAATTATGATGTAATAAAATACGAAATAAACGAGATCTTTGTGCAAGCAAACCAACGAGAAGCATAACATACATAGCTCACATACAAGCATATACATTGCTCATTATAGTAAGGGTATAGGATCAAGTCGAGCTTGACTACTCGTCGGTTGACTACAAGAATGAGGATTGGAGGTTTTCCCCGAGTTCAGGGAAAGTTTTGTCCAGAGAATCAGAGATATCTGTGTTTACTTTCACTCGCTCCCGTTTCTCTGTATAAATATAACTTTTGCCCTCACTCGCTTAACCAGTTATGTAAACTCCCCTTAAATCGTCCACAAAAATAGAATAGAATACTCGCTAGCTTAATAATTTCTATACGGATTAAGTTAATTTTAGCGAATTTATCATAGGGAATAAGCTTTACTGAAGGTCTCATGGTAAGACCTTTTCCCGGGACTGACTTACTTTTTCGTTTGTATGTCCTCCAGAGACCTCAACAACATCAGTTTTAAAAGCGAATGAATGATGTAAAAAAAAATTTAATTATTCCACTAAAATTGATTTACAGTACCTACACATGTTTGTTTACAATAACTAGTTTTACAAACATAAAGTAATCAAGAGTAAATTTTTAATTTTGTAGATAGTAATAATTTTTAATTGATTTATGGAATCAGCAGACATAGATAAACTCTGCCTGTATGTGTCTTCTGGTCTGCTTTCTTTTAATGACCTGAATTTGTTGATATGGATATTTAAACGGAGGTTGAATGAAAAAGGGGAAAACGGTTGTTTAATGTAAGGTTCATAATATACACGATAACTCGAGTAAAATAAACCATACGATTTTATTTTGAAGATTTTATACTTTTGTACAAGACCTGTAAACTTACATTACATCCATTTAAACAAGTTTGCAATCATGATCAGACTTTTGAAAATGGGTTTTATGGGGTGAAATGATGAAAATTAGTTTTCCCCTTTTTTACCCTCAAAAGTCTTAAATACAATTGGCATTGAGTTAATCAATCAGACAAATTCTCCAGTTTAAAGAACGTTTTAAAAACAACAACTCGGGTTAACTACTTCTTCGGCGTGACAATTAAAATACACGAAAAGAAATTACTTCCATCAGTGTAAGCGGAATTCCACAAAAACAATGGTTGAGTAATCGAGTCACGTGACTAGTTTCCGGTTTGCGAGTCACCTTATCATTATCCCCCCTGATAACAATTACCCCCCCCCCTAGGCCATGGAACGATGGAACGTGTTGAGAGGGTGGAGGGGAGAAAGAGAAGCAGTTGGTAGATCGATCGATAGGCCTACTGGCCTACTCAGACTCGCCTACTATACACTATACTACAGTATTAGTAGATAGTGCAGTGCAGTGGCACATCAATAACCTACTTTGCCACGACCAAGACCAGCCAGCCACACCATAACCTGACAACGGAAACAGAACTGCTGTCGCTTCGAGGTTAGTTCCAGGTGAGGTTAGTAGGAGGATAAGGAAAATTACAATAAACTAGTACCTGTGCTGTTAATTTCTGAGCAAATCTACAAACGTAGTCAGGTAAATATATTATCAGTGTTTTAGATCTTGATTGGAACAAGTCTTTTCAAATGGTAAAATTTACTTCATTATTGTTCTAATTCAACCACATCAATGAGTTGTGACCAATTTAATAGATGTACTACACTGTTATAAAAGAACCTTTGTTGATTTTAATTAGGCCTATATTCCTTCAATATGTCTTTGTTTATTAGTTTTTGTACATATGACATTTTAAAACAAAGGTGTTATAAGTAAGTTACATATATTGGGGACATTGATTTTTGTTTTCTAATTTTTACACAGTCAAAGTTACTGGTTTATTTTAAGACACGCACCTAATTCAAATAAAGAGTTTAATACAAACAGTAAAAAATTCTCAATTGATAAAATAAACTTAAATACCATACTGAGGCATATATAAAAATAAATTTTGCAAAATTGAAATGCAGTATATATTTTAATTGGCTGGATTTATTCTTTTAATGGAGAGAATATAATTATTACTATGATGAAAAATCATTTAAGTTTTAAAGTAAATTTTAAAATGTGGGCCTACATAAAATTATGTATAAACTGACTCTAAACCAAACTTTGTTTCTTGTAATTTATACAAAATATTAGACAAACTTCCTATGTGGTTAAGTCCACTTCACAGTTTCTTTTAGTTGTCCACTTCAACTTCATAATCATGTCACTTATGCCATGTACAAATAACTTTTTGTTTTTAGTCCAATAATAGACCACACAGACTTCAACCAATTACAACTCTGTAAAACATTATCACATGACTTATAATGAGAAAATGTTAGTCTGAATCAATTTATTGATTTGTTTGTTCTTTGGTATTGATTTTAACATGAATTCATTTTACCTTATGATAAATAACAAGAAAAAAATGCTTTCATAACCCTTTGGAGGTATGCCTGGCCATATAACATATAACCATTAACCATATGTAACATATAAGTGCTGGTGTCCAGGAATCACTGTTACTAGTGTCTAGTGCAAAGTCTAACACTGCCCCTTCGCCCTCATGTAGGTTACCACAACGCTCATGGTGGGTTGTGGGACGAAAACCCTGTGCGATAGGAATTTTCACACAATGCTCGTCGCTTAGGCTCTTGCTTGCTAATAAGTATATTTCCACGTACAACATAAACTAGAGCTGAAAGCGCACGGTCGTACCCATAAGCAAGTTTCCTCTGTATCTTACTTCTCTGTGCTACTAAAAAAAAGTAGAAGGGGCAGATAGATTCTCTATTCCGCCCTTCACAATATTTCATGGTCAGTAAATAACTAGAGTCGGGACCTTGTAAGTTTGCAGTTGGTGGCAGCCAATCACAAGACAAGGCTAGTGCGACGTTGCCACATCACCCGTTGACAACACTAATTAAAATATACTAAGCAATATTTTCAAATCAGCTGGTATTTATTAGATTTGGCAACACCGCACGGTTCTCATTGGTTCATTCAAAACCATGTGGTAAATAGGCTCCTCCCTCAACTGCAAACTTACGTGGTCCCGACTGTAATGAGATGTGCCTTCATGTTTATCCTTGCATGTTTGTTTCCTCAGATGGCAGTCACAAGTCTACTTTATCATGTAACTGTTGTCGGCTACTTCATGGTGGTCACTCACTGGATGAAAGAGAACATGCTGGAGTTCAAACCTGAGGAGATAAATGATCCAGTGGTACGTCACGTCAAAAGGTTTTCGCTGCGATATCTTACGAACTGGACTTTTGTAAGTACCAAACCAACTCTCTGATCGCTTGAGTCCGAACTTTACATTATCATTATAGGATCCCAGGGGCTATGCCTATAGAGGTTTTGCCTGATCAATCCTGAGAAAAGTCACTTGCTTTTTGATGGGTCGAAACAGTACCCATAGCTGTTCCTGATCATTGGGCTGTAAATCAAATGGTCCTGACTGATTAAAAAAAGCTGATCTAAGTCAGTAAGAAAGCTACACAGATCATCTCATTCCATTCTACACTCATCCTTTACTCATATTTGGATTAAAATACGCATCTAGGTGGTGTCCCTATTTCAGTTGATAGTGATGATAATACCAAAATGTTGTGAATAATATTTAATAACTGTGATGGAAAATGTCTCATCAAAGTTTGTATTTACAGTTTCAGTTTGTTACATAACAGTTTCACGTACTCAAACTTCAGTCATCCAGAGTACATACAGTGAATTCACTACATAGTAGAAAAAAATTAAAATTATATATAGAAGGCAGTATATTGGATGATTTTCCGTTTATTCAAAGACTTCCAAAAGCCAGAAAAAGGCATACCGATGAAATATGATACAGTACAAGATTTTTAAGCTTATACATATTTTATCACTTAAGAACCGGCTCATCTTAATCATTACCTACAGATCGGCCAAAATGTCTGTGTTAGCTTCTAGCTACACTAAAAACATGTGTGCCGGTTATTGGCAGTGCTGGCGATAGGGGTGAGTGAGTCACACTGAGTAGCAAGACACAGATGTTTTTACCAAAGAACCTCTGCAACCCCCCTCTGCCGGTCCCTTAGGTCCCGGGTTCAAATCCCGCCAATGGATTTTATCTAAGTCATAGTGCCACAACCCCTAGTTCTAGTCTGAAGTACTGTGAATAAACCCCGGGCTCTTGCCTAGCATCCTAGGAAAAAAAACCCTTGCCAAGATTCTACCAGTTCTGATCGTGCACACAGAAATTTTGGCTGATCTGTAAAACAGGGGAATGAGCCGATCCAGTGGTAGAGTGCAGGATTTTGGTTTTTTGAGGTCACAGGTTCAAATCCCGGAAAATCACCAATGGATTTTATTAATGTGATTATACCGCAACCCCTGGTCTAACCTGAAGTGAAAAACGATCCTGTTCTAGAGCTTAGCGTCATAGGGCAAAAAAAAATAGTAACACAGCCCATGATCTGTCTGATTCATCCTTGGCTCATAAACCCACTTCTGTGCCAAGGTAATACAACCTTTCTCAATAAATGCTATTCAATGTTACATGGTAAAATATTATTATTCACAATCTAACACAGTATATGTAGGCCCTATAATATGATGCAATGAGATTTACTGAAAGTAAATAAAAATATGTCTAATAAATTTTGAAACATATAGGCTATATATTTAATTTACATTATATTATCCTTGTTTTTGTAGCCTTTTGTTCTTGATTAGGTACCTAACATGTTTGTATCACCCTTTGCATATATATATACAGGGTGGTCGCGAATAAGCGTTAAACTTTCTATTGGTAATAAGAGGAGCATAAATGGAACTCGTAAACGTGGTTTAAAAAAAAATATCTCATACACACCCCCAGAGATGACTTGTTTTAAGTTTTTTGAAAAAATTTGACATAAATGCAAAAATGTTGCATTTTTCAGGTTATTTTAAAACTTTCTGTTCTATTTCTAATACAAGAATATTAAACACACATCTTGTTTCAACAAACTCTATTTCCAACTAAACCAATGTTTACAATAACATGTTTACCAAAAATCATCTGTCAACAAAAGATATTTAAACACAAATAAATCATATGACTAAAAGAACATACTTAATACAACATCCCGCCTCAAGATGTCTACATCTTCATGAAGCTCGGTACCGCCTCGGTATCTTGTTGGACCTTCCGTAATGGGTAACTGTGCCAGCGTCTGGACGATCACGTGAGTTAGATGGACAATTAAGGACCGTAGATGAACAGTTTGAAAGAATGCAATCTTCTCCGTAGTATGGTGCAGGAACTAAGAACTTCTGGTTTCGTCGAATGGTTTTCTTGTCAATGTCCACAAGGTAGGAACGTGGTTCGTTCAATTTCCTGACTACTTTACCATGTCTACGTAGATCTGTGATCCATACCATGCTTCCCTCTTCTAATTCACTTAAACCCCTCGTTCCATGTCGTTTATCAAATTGCATCTTATACTTCGACTGGTACTTATTCTCCCTCTCAAAAAAGTCTTTATTTTCCACAGGATTTCCAACCAAAGTAGATGGAAGATTGTCTCTTATTTTCCCTCCAAAAATAAGTTCTGGAATCAATGGTTCACTGTGATTAGTTGAGTTCTGAATACACACTGGACACGATTTGCTTTTTCTTTCTATTTCTTGAGAAATTCCAGGCCACCACATGGATTCCAAAGCACGTTTCCTTGTTTTTGTGATTCCCAAGTGTCCACTGTGAAGCCTCTCAAGCATTTCCGCTCGTAGTTCATGAGGTATTATCATCCGAGTTCCTTGAAGCAATAACCCATCAATACAACTTAACTCGTCTTTCACGTTAAAGTATTCTTGAATCTCATTAGGTAAACTTGATTTTCCAGGCCATTCGTCTAAAATTTTTAGCTTGAGTTGTGCACATATTGGATCCCTCATTTGTGAGTGAAGTACTTTTGTCACATTTTCGTCTGTAGTGTTTATTCTAATCATACTGATTTCATGGACGAAGGCTTCCACTTCTTCTGTTAATTCGCCATCTTCATTAGCCGGAATAGGACATCTCGATAGCAGATCTGCTATGGCAAGGTCTTTTCTTGGGGTCCAGGTCATGCGATAATCGTATCTCATCATACGCATTCGGAATCGCTGTAGTCTCGGTGAGAGCTCGTCCAAATTTTGTCTATTGAAAATTGAGACAAGCGGTTTGTGGTCGCTCTCAATTGTATACATTTTACCCATCAGGAAACATTTTAAACGGTCACTTTCCCAAGTGCACGCAAGCGCTTCTCTCTCAATGTTACTGTAGTTTTCTTCAACAGGCATTAGAGTCCGAGATATATATGCCACAGGTTTCTTGTTTTCTCCTTCAACTTGTAGTAAAACCGCTCCAAGACCTTTTTTGAAGCATCACAAGAAAGAATCGAGGGCTTTTCCGGATCGTAAACAGTTAAACATGGCTCTGATGATAAAATCTGTTTCACTGTGACAAAAGCTTTTTCCTGAGTTGGTCCCCAAAAGAAATCGTTTTTAGTCTTTAACAAGCTCGTAATTGGCTCTAAAATCTCACTGCAGTTCGGAATAAATTTAGCCAGAAAAGTGATCATGCCCATGAATCTCTGGACTTCATTAGCATTACTTGGGGCTGGTAAGTCCACAACTGCTTGTACCTTGCTTGGATCAGGCTTGATTCCTTCCTTAGACAGCACAAACCCCAAAAATGTCACAGTCTTCTTGCAGAACTCAGACTTCTGCTTATTCAAAGTGATTCCATTAGCTTGCACTCTCTCTAGAACGGCTCTAAGACACTCGTCGTGTTCCTCTTTCGTTCTTCCCCATATCAAACAGTCATCAATGTGCACTAAACAGTTCTTTGCCCCTTCTAAAGCTTTTGACATACGGCGCTGAAACTCTTCATGAGCAGATGTAATTCCAAAAGGTAACTTACAGAATTTATACCTCCCGAAAGGGGTGATAAATGTTGTGTAATCTTGAGACTCCTCTGCAAGGTTCAGTTGCCAGAAACCGGAATTTGCATCGATCTTGCTGAAGTACTTGGCTCCCGCGATCTCGGACAATGAAAGTTCAATCTTTGGAATAGGATAAAACCGACGTTTCACACTGTTGTTGAGTTTGGAAAGGTCCACGCAGATCGTAACCCCACCTCTCTTTTTTGCGCAAACTACCATTGGTGCGCACCAATCAGTCGCGTGTTTAACTGGGACAATCACTCCTTTTTCAAGCATATTCTCTAACTGCTCTTTCACCTTGCTTTTTAAAGGTATTGGTACAACCCTGGGGGTAGATATAGCATAAGGAACTGCATTCTCCTTCATTTCTATCTTGTACTCTCCTTTCATATTTCCCAATCCTTGAAATAAATTAGGGTACTTAGTAACCCAGTCAATATCTGATGAATCTACAGAAAAGATCCTCTTCACCAGGTTCAGCTCTTCACAGGAACGTCTGCTAAGAAGTGGAACAGTGATCTCCTCAGAAATATACGCATAATCATAAACCGATACACCCTTATGTTCAAGCTTCAGCCTTAAAGTTCCCAAAATATTGATTCGTTCTTTCTTCTTTGCACTGTACACAGGGGATTTGCACTTTCCTAGAGGCAGAGTCTTAATAAAATCACCAAGAACTCCTACTGGAATCATGGTTACATCAGCGGCTGTGTCAAGTTTAAATTTTATAAACCCTAACACTTGGTTTCCACAGCTTGCTTTTACCTCCTGGGCCCAGGCTCTGTCATTGTTTTCTATATTCCCGATGAAAATCTCAGGAACCTGTAGATCTCCACAGTCTGAAACTTGTTGTTCGATTTCTTTAACAACGTATTTGTTTTTTCTCATCCACTTTTTGCGGTAGGGACAGCATCGAAAAAAATGTCCAATCTTGGAACATTTGTCACATTTGGCTTTCCTAGCAGGACATTCGGCCAGTGATCCGTGCCAATCATAACCACATTTTCTACACTTCTTTGTATTTTCTGCATCCTCGATGTATTTCTGGTCACAAACTCCTTCTGTCCGATTCGGTTTACCGTTTTGAACTGACGTTTTATTTACAAAAAAAACATTAGTATTGGCAAGTTCACGTTTTTGGCGTTCTAGCTCCTCATGTTGGCGCAAGGTATTAATTGCTTTCTCCAGAGTCAATTGAGATTCCAGCTGGAGTCTATCACTCAGACCCTCATCTTGCATACCAATAATGAGGACGAGAAGCATCATCTCATCATTTAGTTCACCCCATGCACACGTTTTCGCAAGGCCATGCAAATCTGTTATAAATTTTTCAGATGGATCACTCCTTTGCTTGTGTCTCAAAAATTTTGATCTCTCATAAATTATATTCCGTCTTGGCACAAAGTATTCATCAAAGTCCCTAAGAGCCTCGTCATAAGTATTAGGTTTTGGGGAAAACGAATCGAAAATATCTTCACTTCTACTACCCATTACAAACAAAAGTACATCGATTTGCCGAGCGTCGGAAGTGCTATCCAGACCGCAACCCCGTCTGTACCTTTGAAAGCGATTCCTCCAGGAATGCCACTCATTCGGAGTAAAAGAGAACGTTTCTGGAGTTGGTAACGTGATATTGACCATCGGAGTAGGGGTATACATAACTGCATCATTTTCTCGGTTCGTATGTCCCAATGCAAAACCTCGTGACTCATCTTTAGTCTTTCTAGAGTCCCTTTCTGAAACGTAGTTGAGTTCACTTTGGGCGTCGTCCTCACCGTTATCCTCATACCTTTGCCTCCGAGTATTTCGGTTTTTTCTGCCCTTACTTGACATTATGCGTGGTTTTAGACTTTCAGTTCGATAAAAATCCACTAAGCTGCCACCATGTTCTATTTCTAATACAAGAATATTAAACACACATCTTGTTTCAACAAACTCTATTTCCAACTAAACCAATGTTTACAATAACATGTTTACCAAAAATCATCTGTCAACAAAAGATATTTAAACACAAATAAATCATATGACTAAAAGAACAGACTTAATACAACACTTTCATCAACATTTAACTGTACCATCGCGTTCTCCACAAATTTTTTTATAAAAATACATGTATTTAAACTTGCCTAAATCTGCATAGCTACTTAATAAATTGAATAAAAATAAAAATTTGTGTTTTTCAAAAAAAATTTAAAAAATACGTTAACATAAAACTTTTGTCAAAAAAGCTTTTAAAGAGCGGCAAATACTTTTAAAAACTACTCCATGATCTAAGCTTTCAAACAATACCATAAAACGTAATATTTGATCCCGAAAAATGTCCGCTATTCAAGTTTGAATGGCGTAAAACACAGGTTACCCAAAACATTTTTACTACTGTCGCGTCGTAATAATGTTTTTTTTAGATTAATTAAAATAGCACCATCCAAACGGATTTTGAAATCAGTTTTTTGGCAATCTTTTTCAAACTGGATGAATTAACTCAGCTATAAGGCCAATCTTATACCAATTCAAGTAAGATATGTATGATATGAAATTAAAAATTAATAATAATTCATTTCGTAGTAGAAAAATTAGTTTTATTATTTACAGTACAGCCATGATATGAAAGAAAAAAAGACTAAGTCGTTTTCTCTTATTTACACTACTGCATACTTCACTAAAACGACAAGGCTGTGCCCTATTAAACCTAAAAAAACACGATACAGATATTTGATCAACTTCTAACTGGCTAAGGGCTAACTGTGTTTTTAATTAAAATTTGATGAAATGTCTGGACAATCTATCCAAAATGTTGAACATTTTTATTACCTGAAACTAAATTATTTGTCTCATGTGTTCAGTTTAATCCCCAACTACTGTAATATTTTTATTTTAACATATTTTAAGGCTACTTTTATTTATTAAGTTGAAGTTTATCAAATATCTGTATCGTGTTTTTTTTTAGGTTTAATAGGTCACAGCCTTGTCATTTTAGTGAAGTATGCAGTAGTGTAAATAAGAGAAAACGACTAAGTCTTTTTTTGTTTCATATCATGGCTGTACTGTAAATAATAAAACTAATTTTTCTACTACGAAATGAATTATTATTAATTTTTAATTTCATATCATACATATCTTACTTGAATTGGTATAAGATTGGCCTTATACTTGAGTTAATTCATCCAGTTTGAAAAAGATTGCCAAAAAACTGATTTCAAAATCCGTTTAGATGGTGCTATTTTAATTAATCTAAAAAAAAAAAACATTATTACGACGCGACAGTACGTAGTAAAAATGTTTTGGGTAACCTGTGTTTTACGCCATTCAAACTTGAATAGCGGACATTTGTCGGGATCAAATATTACGTTTTATGGTATTGTTTGAAAGCTTAGATCATGGAGCAGTTTTTAAAAGTATTTGCCGCTCTTTAAAAGATTTTTTGAAAAAAGTTTTATGTTAACGTATTTTTTAAATTTTTTTTTAAAAACACAAATTTTTATGTATATTCAATTTATTAAGTAGCTATGCAGATTTAGGCAAGTTTAAATACATGTATTTTTATAAAAAAATTTGTGGAGAACGCGATGGTATAGTTAAATGTTGATGAAAGTTTTAAAATAACCTGAAAAATGCAACGTTTTTGCATTTATGTCAATTTTTTTCAAAAAACTTAAAACAAGTCATCTCTGGGGGTGTGTATGAGATATATTTTTTTAAACCACGTTTACGAGTTCCATTTATGTTCCTCTTATTACCAATAGAAAGTTTAACGCTTATTCGCGACCACCCTGTATATATATATTTAAAAATGGTAAATGGTGATCGATTTTGATTGGATAGTCAAATCATCATCAGACCAATAGGTGAGTGACAAGAACCTCGATGGCATCCCTACTTATATCCTATTGGCTACCGGAAGTTCAGGGCAAGACGTTTCTAAGTACAACTGTAGTATAAAATTTACTTGCTCATTTATTAGCTTATTTTATTTTTACTTTGTCCTTCCTTATGAATATACAATAATTAGGGATCACCACTTACCATTCTTATATGTATTTACTCTTACTGTTTTGTGAGTCAACATAGGTGTAAATATGTTTCAAGTGTTATTATAGACATAATTTTATTTACTTTCCGCAAATTTAATAACACCTATTCTGCTGATCAAGAATAAGGTTAAGTCTTATTATTCATTTTAAATGAATAATAAGAATTTATTTTATGATCATTGCCATATTTACTGCTAATGTTTTCAGACTCTGCAAACTATATACTTTCTCGTGGCTCTCGTAGAAGATGTGTTGAGTGTTTTCAAAGGACAAGAAAGATTAAAGGATAAAGTAAATAAGTTTAAGAACTACTTCTTCACAGTACTGGTGGCACCAATGGCTTTGGTAAGAATATCATTAAACATTTGTACCCAAATTCTAAACATATTCTGGGCGAGGATCCCTGAACCCCCCCCCCCTTTTTACTGGGGCTTATTCCGTATCCTATCCCCCCTTCTCGAAAAGTTATAAGGGTACCCATGGCAATTACAGTTTTTCTATAAACTAATATCCAACTCTAAGGTTTTAAAATAGTTGACTTAGTATTTGTGGTAGTGAAAATGGCTTAATTAAGAACAAACTTCTCCTTTGTAACAAGTAAACCTTCTGTACCTTTTTGGTCCATGAAATCAAATTACCTGCAAAGCAATATACAAGAGCAACATGTAGGCCTACACTCGATATAAAAAAATAGTGAACTCTAAAGAATATTTATTTGTTTACTATGATTTATTATGTGAAGTTGAATTGAAAATTAATTAACCAAAACTCATGATAAACTGAGGAAACTGGTCAAAGATTAATGCTGATAAAATGGAATCTAGTTCATTCAGACAATTTCTGACATAAATAAACCCTCAGATAGTGTGACTGTCAAATTTTTTGTAAATAGCCTATGTTTGTTTTATAAATTATTTTAGATCAAACTTTTTTTAGCGTCATATTGTACAAATTTCATGCGTAGGCTACGCAGCGTAGCTGAAAAGCAGGTTTTTTTTTCGAAGCAACCCAAATAAAAAGCACTCTGAGACAGATTTTAATGAAAAAAAAAACAGCTTACCTGTTGGTATCCCTGTTTTCCTTACCTAGTTTCCGATCAGCTGATATACATGTTGCATAGATTTCTATGAGGCTTAGTGTAATTGGGAATTTATTGTAAATGTAAATAAGACTCAACAGAGGGTGTTTTCCCAAGCTCGAAAGGTTAAAAGAATAAGTTAAAAGTAAATCATGGTTTTTATACCAAGAATTGTTCGAATCAAGCTTCAAGGTGTGATTGCAGTACCTAATAAATCAAGTATTGACATGTACAAATTTAAGGAAATTGAATCTGTAGTAAACAAAAAAAAACTTAAACCTACAGTACATAGCATACACTATACTGTATTTGAGCTTCACTACGCCTATTGTCGGTCTCTCAATTCTAATTGTTTTATTTTTGCAACAAACTCCGACAACACGGTATTGAAATGTATAGTTTTACCCATATTTGATGTATAACTTAATATTTCACTTTGTCTAATTATTTAATCTTTTTGCAGTTGGTCTCAATAGTTTTCTGGGGTATTTGGTCCGTAGACCGCAACCTCATATTCCCCACAGTATTGGACAAGTACCTGCCTCCTTGGATCAACCATTCTCTCCACACTACCACCTCAGTTGTAGTCTTGCTGGAGATGTATCTCTGTTTTCATAAATATCCTTCATTCAAACCTGCGCTGCTTGGAATTACACTGTACTTGCTCTGCTACTCAGTCTGGTAAGAGATTTTACTATGTATTTTTGACAAAAATGTTTATTTCTTAAATTTGAAATGTCCTTCATTGATGGGGGCAGTTGATTATAAATGCTAGATCCCACGAATTATAGGGATAAATGAACTAGTTTAAATCTGTGTTGCACTACTGGTTTTATTAAGTTCCAGTGTTTTGTATGACGATTGTGAGAGGACTAGCTCTCCTCGTGTATCCAAATCACTCTTAACCATTGTAGAAGGTTTATATATTCTTAAGCACTGTCTAAAGGGAGAATATAAAAATATTCTTTGTAGTGTGTATCTTAAGGCACCTTGGCTATATGTCTAATGACCCTTTTACTTTCTCCCGCTCTATTTTCAATTTTTTATTTTTGAGTTTTGGGTGGGAATATTTGTTTTGGGTCCCCCTGAAAACAAAAAAGTGGTCTGTGTGTGTGGGTGTGTACTGAGCTACAGACTACACCTGTGGGTTTTGATGAAATTTGGTTTGTGGGTACTAATCCTAAGAAACTTTTGGTTATTTAGGTAGAAATCTTTATTTTTAGTGGTGATTTATCTATAAAATCCATAAAACAACAGGAAAATTGGGTTTCCACAAAAACCGCTCGATCGATTTTGATTAAAAATGTTGTTATGGTCCTTTAACCTACAGGGTGTCTATAAAAGAACTCCGGGATTTTAAAAATTAATATCTTAATAACTGTAGAAAATAGCAAAATGTAGTTAATTTTTCTGAATCGAGTAGCTCATCAAGTTTTACTCATACCGATTGGGAATGTTTTCATCAACAGTTTGCAGCGCTACGGAGCGTTGACCTTGAAACAACGTAGTGCGGCTGTCAGTGCTGTCTGGATTGCCGCGCTATGGCGACGCCGCAACAAAATGCTCAGTGCATTATCTGGCTAATAGAAACTAAATCTGTTGTTACGGTACAAAGAAACTTTCGGCGTTTAGTTTACCTCCAACAAGATGGGGCACCGCCACATTTCAGTTTGCGTGTGCGTGAGGCACTTGACGTTCGACTCGGCAACAGATGGATTGGAAGGAAAGGATCGATTCCATGGCCTCCAAGGAGCCCTGACATGACTCCGTTGGACTTTTTCTTCTGGGGACACATCAAGAATCTTGTGTATGCTGAGAAAATTCATGATGTTGACCATCTCAGGCAACTAATAATCAATTGTGTGGCAACCGTCCCCCCAGACATGCTGGTCAGGACATGGGAAGAGGTGGAATACCGTTACGATGTGTGCCGTGCCACTAACGGCGCTCATATTGAACTTTATTAAATTGTTAAAAAAACTTGAAAATGTAACCTTTCCAATCATGTATTAAACATGTATATACGTTTTTTACTTCAGTGTAATATTTTGCCTCAAAACCCCGGAGTTCTTTTATAGACACCCTGTACATATTGGTACAACTCCCAATGCAGTAAAAATTACAATTCAAAAGTTAATGTGACTTTTTATAATTTTGTGATTTTCCCCATAAAATATCATAGATACTGCCACCGCTTGTCTGTTATTAGGGTTGTTGATAAGCTAATGGCAAAAAGTATATGTCAGATGCAGATTGACTATTTATTTGAATTTTTTTGTAATTTTTCAGTCTGATGCTGACCTATTACCAGAGCGGTGCTTGGCTCTACCCTGTGTTTAAAACCCTTAACTGGACCCTAAGGATAACATTCTGTTTAGCAACATACGTTCTAGCAATCGCTCTCTACGGAGCTCAATACTTCCTCAACAAAGTTTTTTGGGGTGAGTGTAGATTTTAATGTGTTACTTAGTTAACCAATAGGCCTAATTAACTAATTCACTAATCATGACCAAACTATTAAACACCATAATCAACCAATTGAACAAGCAAATTTATACACTTTTTGTTGCTCAATGAAGATTCCTAAACCTGTCCTTGAGTGTTATGCAAAGTCTTTTTAGGTCCTGTCATAGAGAAGTATAAGGAACAAAGGATACAGTCCATGGTACACTTAAATGGTGTCTAGCACCAGTGTCTAGGGTTAAGTCCAACACCGTTCTCACACGCCCTCATGTACACAACGCTCATGGTTGAGGAAGACCCTGTGCTCTGTGCGATAGGAATTTCCGCTAAGTGCTCGCCGCTTGGGCTCTTCCTTGCTTGTCAGAAGTATATTTCCGGCACAACATACCAGAGTTGAAAGCACACGGTTGTCCCATAAGCCTGTTTCCTCTGTACCTTACTTCTCTGTAGTCCTGCAGATTTATAAAATTTAAAGTTTTCTCAACCAGCGAATAGAACCTGAAGAGTTCAAGATTGGCTTTATTGTTAGTTTTGGTTAGTAAATTGTAGTTCACATATCTGAGGCACAATTCTCAATATGTATATTTACCATCCACCTGGAGCTATTAAAAAACAACTATCTATTTTGTTTTTTTAAGTTTAAAAATAATGTACTATTTACTCTTAAAAAATAGCACTATAAAGTTTCTAATTTGATCTGGGGGTTCTTAGATAGATTTGTTGAATTAGTACCTGAAAATGTTAACAAATATAATATATATTCTATCAAGTTTTAACACTCAACTGGTTGAATTTATAAAGAAAGTGAAGAAAATTGATGATTTATGAGGTTTGTTCGCAAATTAACTTCTCCATTGTGCACATATTTACAGAAAACCTTCATAATGTACTTAAAACACCAACACCATTCATTTCCTCTGAATTACGCCATTGTACTTTGGAATAGTCAAAGCTTGCATTTAGGCTAATATAAATTACTGGTGCCCCTGTTGCTCGAATTCGAGCAATTGCAAAGTATTATAGGCGTTATTTCAAAACGGATAACAGTCATAATTTCCGATGACTTAAAAGTTTCAACTCAAAGATAATGTAATCACTCCACTCCAGTTATTGAAACTGAAAACGAACGCTTTTGTGTGTATCATGTGTTTACTATGAACAGCTGTTTTAGTATGCAATTATTACAAATTATTTGTCTGCTTAAGTAAACAAAATATTTTCTTCATAAGAAATACACTGGGATTTTGATGGCATGTGGGGCAATGCCCGAGGCCTTTTATTACAGGAATTGGTGATAGGGGGCGTCTACACATAAAATACTTAATTTTTGCACATTGTTTGTAAAAGTCTGTCCATTAACGGAGGAGTAGTGTTTCGTAGAAATTACCTTCACGTATTATATATAAGAATGGTTGGTCTATGAAATAAATGACAGAAATAAACAGTGAAACTCATCCTAAACAAATTTAGCCTGACCTAATTTTGCTCTAAATCAACCCAAATATTCTAAATAGCCTGAACGAATTACGTATTTATTGTTACTGACAAAAATTTATACTCTAGGAAATGATGACAAGCTCTTAATGCCAGATGGTATTCTTCTGAGGTATTTATGTCCAAAAACTCAATTGAATTATGTGCTTTGTTTCAACACAGTGGTTTTGTCATTGACTAAATATGTTGTGATGATTAACAGGGAGGGTATATTTAAGCACTGGACTTGACAAAGTTAGATTTACTATAAAAAGGTTAAATACCTGTAGTACTGTCTGTGATCCTGGAATTTAGGTCAGCGACCCAGGTTTCGAACCTAAAGGTTCATTTTCAAGCTGGTTACCAGAGTTAAAAACACATAATCCTCTTCATAACTGTGGAGAGTCGTTATAAGACACAAGACACGAACACGAAAACATTAAACATTAAACAAAATTGGCCAATTATAATACTGGTACGGTAGCGTGCTCATGAGTCATGACTCATCTTTTGCCGGCTACACCACGCACGCTACCGTACCAGTATTATAATTGGCCAATTTTGTTTAATGTTTTCGTGTTCGTGTCTTGCGTCTTATAACGACTCTCCACAGTTATGAAGAGGATTATGTGTTTTTAACTCTGGTAACCAGCTTGAAAATGAACCTTTAGGTTCGAAACCTGGGTCGCTGACCTAAATTCCAGGATCACAGACAGTACTACAGGTATTTAACCTTTTTATAGTAAATTACGTGATCCAGAGGCTAAACATGTTTAAAGTTAGATTTAGTTGGCTCCTGAAGGAGATACAATTTATCAGCATGAGAAATACTGTATACTAATTTAATTTTGTGATATAACACATCTGAATGCTTAAACAGTGTTTATGCAATCTACATTTTGCAATATTACATGTCATTAATTCATCATTAATACTGATTTCTCCATTATTTTGTGTGTTTTCTCCAACAATGTTTGTTAATGTGCCTAATAATGTGTTATGTGCTATCAGTTATTTAAAATGTTTCTCCTTGTTAATATTTTTACATTTTGGGGGCTGGGGCAAAGTTGTAACTTAAGTGAAAAAGAGCAATTTCTTATGTTGTAAATATGTGCCAAGTTTGGTTTTCCTACTGCAACACGTTAAAAAGTTAACTGGGGGGTTCCAGACTTTTGACTAACCTGTAATTTTGATACATGCAATCGTTTACAATCGAAATTTACAACTTAGTTGACTAGCTCAGTTAACAGCTGATATTTACTCCCTAGAGGCTAAAAGATTGTTACTCCCTAGAGAGTAAAAATGTTACTTTAGACCCGCAATACATGCATTAAAAACAGCTGTTTTTACTGCAGTATGACAAAAACAATATAACATAAACCCTTGATGACTCCGCTCAATTTTGTGGATGCCTCTGCGAACGCCACCTAGTTTATTCAAAGTTTAGATAGCCATGAAATATTTCAAGTTTGTAAATGGCACCAACTAGTAAACTGTTCGGATAAAGTAAAATGTGTGGACAAAGGCAAATGCAAGGTAAAAGAGGCACCAAACAAATTTTATGGGTTTTTATTAATGTAAACTTCTATAACTTAATACAGTGAAACACTTATTGATTGTTTTAGATGTTACTTAATTTTTTCTGTACCAGTAACTAAGATATTCAGTTATTTCTGAGATTTTATGAATGGTAATCTGCTACTCAGTGTCAAACTTTTGCCTTTTTCGATTTTACAATAGTTTTTAACTTGCAAAGGATACTTTTAACCCTCTGGGGACGTGTCTGGCGGATATATCTGCCTATGTCTTTTCTTTGGTGAAAAGGATGGGATCCGCATGTATCCGGGATGTATCCGCCTTATCTTCAGTCAGTGTTTTTGCAGTACCCAGATGTCTCGGTATACCACGGCACTATAGACATCCCAAGAACAAAACAACCTGTGCAGAAATAAAAAGATCACGTGGTTTGCCCTGGTAGGTGTGGCTTACCCTTCAAACCTGCGCGGCACGAAATGGCCCAGGTTTCTTTTGTTTCTGGGATATCTATAGTTCGCCGCGCTCTCTGCTACCACTGCAACCTTGAAAGCGACACGGCCGCCCCCTCCTGCACTCCCCCACCCCTACAATGTTGCACATGCATCACCACGTTGACTCTGTTGGTGCTAAAAGCTTCAGTGGTTGTCAGTCTAGCAGCATGAAAAAGTGATAACATATTGTTCTTTATTCATTGCCTATCCTTGTCACAGCCATATTTTCAACGACCGGCGGATATAGACGGGCGGCGGATATATCCGCACTATTTTTTAAATTCATAAAACAAGTAAAAGATTATTTAGATAGTACGAGATGTTCCATTATGTTATTAATTTGATGTATACAGGTATAAAAAAACACAGAAATAATGAAAATAATTTTTTTTTATTATATAATTTTTGCCCTTCCCAGGCCATTAAAGTCACCCGTCCGGGAAGGGTTAATTCAAATGCACTTATTGTTTTGAAAATGAGCAATGATGTATAAGTCACCAACAGTTTGCTAAACAACTTGTACACTGAAACTAAAGTGTTGATCTTAAGTTTAAGCACTAAAGAGTCTTTTTAAAATGTTTCAGATGAGAAAGCTGCCACAAAGAAAGCACCCAAGAAGAAACACAAAAAACACTAATTGATTGATACCTATTTGTTTTAACTTCAAGACACAGTCATTCCATTACATTCATTCCATGCTAATTAGTTACCTAAATTTAAAAATAGTTAATTGAGCTATAACTTATTTAAAAATAGTCTAGATTGAAAGAATATTTGTACTTACATTTAATACTTACTTACAGATCATTTGAAACGGAAATTACAGATCATTACAAAATAAAGAATCATATTTATTTGTGGTGTAAGCAAAGCGATACTGTATATGAAATTAAGTAATCTAACTTTTGTTTTACCAGTATACTGGTAAAAAAAATTTGAATTTCAATTATGTTCAGTATTATAACTTTATATTTTATACAGCCTACTCACATAATTTTTTTAATAAATACAAAAATTAATACATTTGTTGAGATTTCAAATATTTCAATCAAATAGATAAATTTAGATAGTAAAATTTATATATTTAGATAAATTTAAATAAATAAAATACATTTAGATAAAATAATTTGTTTCAGAAAAATACTGACAATTCTTGTATATTGTAATACCTATGTTTTCTAATGAAAATATACAATATATAAAACAAATGTACTACCGGTACATTAAACACAATTTAAAAGTTACCTACTTTGAGTCTTAAGGGCAATTAGCCCAGTCATTTTATATTTAAAATATGCTTGAAAAATGAAAAAAATATTATAGTTCCAGAAATTGCTTTAATATGTCCTCCTAGGTATCTATTAACACACCAAAAAGCCCCGAAGGTGGGGGGTTGGGAAGTGACCGCCATCTTGGTTTTTAGATTTAGGTGTCATTTTTAGGGTTTTCCTAAATATCTCGAAAACTATCAACTTTTTTATGCCATTTAAAATTAGGGAATTAAAGAAGATTAAATTTCCTACAAGAAAAGTTTATGATGTAACTATTTTGTTTAATTCTTTTACAAGATATAATAAATTTGTAGGATATCTTATTCATTTACTTCTTCAATTAGGAATACATGTAAATTTGTATGTAAAATAAATGCTAAACGTGGCAAAGCCAGCCACCTAAGGTCAAATAACCAATATTCATGAAATTTTGAAAACATTTCCAGTAATTTGACACTTTAATCATAAATTTTTTTCCAAGATTAAGGCAAGGATGAACACACAAAAAAGTTGCAATTTAAAGGTCGATTCACACACATCAGTCCAGTCACAGTTCCGTTACAGTCCAGTTACAGTCCAGTCACAGTTGCATCCGCAATTTCTCAGTCGATTGTACGTCAGTTGGTTTCAGTCAGTCTTCCGTCTCTAAAATTCACAGTAATTTATAGTCCAAATTTTAAATTTATAAACCTATATTCTATCAAATTATCATCGTCCATCTTGTTGATTGTTACAAACAGTACTCAAAATACAAACGCAACCATTTAAATAACAATAACACTATTTTCTAACCTCAAACAGTTCCGTCAGGCGTCCGAACAATCAAAAAGTATCGTTGGAAAGAAATCTGAAATTGACTGACGGATGCCGGTAGAGCGACTGACGGGACTGCAACGGATAAGTGTAGATAGCGCAATAGAAAATCCATTAAAGAATATTTTTGTTAACTGTGACGTGCCTGAAGTGACTTTACTGTGACGTGCCGTAACTGATGTGTGTGAATCGACCTTGAGGGTGCGCTTTACCTCAGCTCGGAAATCTGAGCTCGGGCTTCAGTAGCTATGTTTCACCATTGGACAGCGCTGCGAGAAGCACTTGCAGACGTTTCCAAGATTACTGTTTTAGAATTAACTAATAATGATAGGCTACGCACGGCTTATAGTAGTACAAAGACCAGTCCATAGTTCTGCGTTTTTCAAATGTTAAAAAAACGTTTTTTTTTAAGTTAAGGCTAGTCGAAAAGACCCTTTTTTCTTGTACTACAACTCAAGTTTATAAGGTGTGTATTTAAAATAATTGAAATATAGAAACAAAGAACTATAGAAAATTTCATCCTCTTTAATATGAGACCTTAACATCATTTATATGTCAGGGAGACAAGAATTAATAAGTGAATAGTTTTTGTTACTAAACCTTATTCATATCTGTGATTTTAAATATGTGATGAACACTTGCTCACATGTAACCCCGTTATTATTTTTACCTCATTAATTTAAAGAATTGTTACAGTTTTTGTTAAATCATTAATGTACCATATTTTATTGTATTGATTGTATTGTTATGGTGTTATTCTACCTTTAATGTAGCAGGTGAAAACAGAAATCTTGCAAACCCTTGCATTCGGTTGCACGTCAGGGGTAAAGCGCGCCCTTAAGAAACTATTTACAAATAATGCGGTTATTGTGAGCTCGGCAACGCCTTAATTTTGGACAAATTTTGATGATCGAAGTGTCAAATCAAATTGCTGGAAATTTGGTCAAGATTTTATGAATATCCGTTATATTGACCTTATGTGAATACGCTTTGCTTTGTTTAGCATTTATTTTACATACAAATTTACATTTATTCCTAATTGAAGGAGTAAATGAATAAGATATCCTACAAATTTATTATATCTTGTAAATGGTTGAACCGAAATAGTTACATACTTTTCTTCTAGGAAATTTAATCTTCTTTATTAATTTCCTAATTCAATATAGTATACACAACACATAAAAATGACACCTTAAATCCAAGATGGTGGCCATTTCCTGACCCCCCACCCTCCAGGCTTTTTGGTGTGTTAAGATAGACACCTAGGAGGACATTTTAAAGCAATTTCTGGGACTAAAAGATTTTTTTTTTAATTTTTTAAGGCATTTAATGACCTGACTAAATACATTAGGCCTTCAGGTTATTAGCTCATTTGTTTATGAATATGTATTAATAAAGTTAGAACAAAAATTATATATTTCCAACACCAGTATTTATATGTCAGGGAGACAAGAATTAATAAGTGCATAATTTTTGTTACTAAACCTTATTCATATCTGTGATTTTAAATATGTGATGAACACTTGCTCACATGTAACCCCGTTATTATTTTTACCTCATTAATTTAAAGAATTGTTACAGTTTTTGTTAAATCCTTAATGTACCATATTTTATTGTATTGATTGTATTGTTATGGTAATTGTTATATGTGCATATATTTTTATACTCAGCATAAACTTTCTTCACAACTATACCGGCTGTATTATATATGATTCCCTAAAATAAAATATCACTTATATTCCATACCAACTAACCAGTATAGCTACATATGAAAACTGTAGCTGAGTCTCGCCTTTAAATCTGAAAGTAACTTGTTTGATTGAAACAAAATTTGATTCTGGACCGAGGTACAAATTATTGTCATTGGGCTATCACTATTGATCATATCTAACAAAAAATTGATGTTAAATAGCAAATTTACACATGCATAAATACATTTTAGAAGTAATGCTAAGCAATTAAGCGAAGTAATGAAACCTTGCTGTCTTGAGTGTCAAAAAGGATTACATGAAGCCCTACTCATCTTGAGACATTCAGTTGTCAAGATGGTTTCTAAGGTTTTCAACTGGCTCACTACAATATTCTATTTCTACCTAACTTACCGAGGAATCAGTCTGATATTTTTAGAATGTGATGAACACAAGTACAAAAGTATAATTTATCAGTATGGGTTAGAGAATAAGCACAAATATTTGAGCATTTGGGTATCAGTAAGTATTTATAAGTGTTTGTTTACTTTTAACAATTATGTATGCAGTATATAAAGTTGTAGAGGAACTTTGCGTGGAATACCTATGTTTATAAGAACAGAAGATTATTATATTAAGTTTTAGCATTTTTCTATATAGGAAAGCTATTTTTGGATATTTAAGACGATAAATGTTTGAGATGACTATTCATTAAAAATATTGTTTCACCATTTCAGTTGTGAAAATTATTAAATGAATTATACGGTATTGACATAGCCTCCTCTAATACAAGGCCATACAGTGAGATGAAAGGGACAACACCGCAGTTCCGCAAACATAAACAGCTGTTGCACTATAATGGAACATGCTAGTTTATAAGCATGTGTGCAATGTTTATGTTTACAAGTTTGTTATTCCTGTTATTATCATGGCAATAGCCACCCTAGTGTGATATTTTAAAAGTTAAAAGGAAAGTTAAGTTTTCAAGCCTTTTGGCAAAATTAATATTTATTATAAAAGTGTACATTTACGGTCCAAACATGTCTAAGCCTAATATTTGCTTCACGGCTTTGTTTAGGTGTAGAGCTTACTGAGGAAACTCATACACAGTTTTGAAAGAATGCAGTAAACTATTTACCACGCTCCAGCTGACTTACCTCATTCAGCTGATTTTAACGAGCTCTTACTGTAAACAACTTTCTAGTCTACAAACAGTAGTGTACTGGAGCGGGAACGGTGTTCCCACAGTGTTTATTCCAATAGTCCTACATAGTATATTAATCCTAAATGTTAGTCAGTTCTTAGACAATAGCTTTGACTATTAATACAACAATAGTAAGTGTTCCCACACTGGATATTTTAAAACTACATCACTGTCTTCAAGGACAAGAAAACCTGAACACCCCTGCTTACTCTCGGAGTGTGGTAAAAAAATAATTACAGCCTTTTACTCCTTATTTCTTCTGGATCTGGATAATTGGGGATGTGGATGATGGGAACTCAGACAAGCAGAGTTCTTCAGTAATTTATAATTGTTTCAGTTTCTACAAACACTATACTTTGTTATTGTTTCATTTTCCGACATTGTCAACTGCTTGCCCTCCGTGTTTGTTTGTCCTCGATGGTCTCAGTACTCTACCAATGCAAGACATTATCTGCTCACTTCCCTTGTTCTGCCTCTAACGCTGGTAAGTCACCCTACTTGAACTGTGCATGTATTTCTAGTTTTACATTTTAGTAAACAGAGATGTAACAGGATGTAAACTTAACCGTGCAAAGTAGAATCTCAATTATCTATCCATACTTCTGTGTTATTCAACTCTCCCTGTTTGCAATAGAATACCAATAAGTTATGTGTTTTTGCTGTGTGGCTTGATTTAACTGCAGCGGGTACCTTTTTAGACAGCTCTGGTTTGAGCACAAAAGATACATATGTCAGGGCTTAGCCAACTGCAACTTCTTATGTTGAGCTTCATACCACGGTATGTCAACTTAGTACCTGCACCAAGACTAGTACATTTAAAACTGTATGGTTGTTGGTGGAGCACAGAAAAGTAAAGCTCAGAGGAAACTTGCTTATAGGACATCAATGCACTTTCAGCTCTAGTATGATGTGCAGGAAACATACTTGTGACAAGCAAGGAAAGCCCTTGCAGAGTGTACTGTGCCATAATTCCTATTGCACAGGGCACAGGGCCTTCCTTCACTGTAGAACATGAAGGTGAGGGGGCGGTGTTGGATTTTGCGCTAGACACCAGCGACTAGTGCTAGACACCACTTAAGTTTACTGTTCAACATTTCCTTAGTATGTTAATTATCCGTGGGTGGAGAGAGATTGGTGGGGAATACCAAAAATATTTCCTCGCCAGTGGAACTAATCCTTTTTTGTTTTCCAAATAGGTAGATGTACAGATTATGACTATTCAAACCATCATGGTGCAGTATAATACCTAAAAGTAATTGATAATTGGAAGAAATTGCATCAAACCAGTTACAACCTTTGAATTAGTAAATTGACGTAAAACGTTTAACTGGAATGTTTCTTGTTACGTTGAAAAACCTTAAACCCTGCTGTCTTATGAACAAATGTTTTCATGTTCCAGTACATATTCACTGTGTTCTGGACGTTCTACTTGTACGATCGGGAGGTGATCTACCCAGAGCTATTTGATCGGTTTATTCCTCCTTGGTTGAATCACGCGATGCATTCTCTTCCCGTCCCCATTCTGTTGGTTCATCTGATCCTCGGACCCAATCACAACCCTTCTAGGACATCCGCTCTTGTGGGACTGTCGCTGCTGTTTGTGGTTTATGGAGTTGTGTAAGTAGCCTAAAAATTAGTTTTCCTACAGTCACCCGACAAAGTTGGCTTCCTTGTACGGTTTATAGTACAGAAAGCAGCTAATTGCTGCATATTTATACTTTGTCGTACAGTTTATACTTTGTCGTACGGTTTATACTTTGTCGTACGGTTTATACTTTGGCGCACATTAGGATTCCAACGAAACGAAACAAAACAGCGTGGTTCTATTATGCACGTAATCCGTGTACGCTTGGAAATAGGTTGGCAACACTTAAAGATAATAATACTATGAGCAGCTGATCGACTATTATACCTGTCATTTCGTGTTTATAATTTCGATATTTCTGAACTTTCTGGACTTTTCTTTTAAATTTTTAAAACATTCCTACGATCTTAATAAACAAGAAAATACCTTTAAAGTATTTTTTTAGGCACGGAAACCACTTCAAATTACAAAAACATACGGAACTATATTCTCAAGTCGCGGAGCACATTTCTTGCCGAGGAAAAATAGCGGAGTGATACGGACCGGGTACTACTTTCTCTGGGGCACCATTTGTGTTGCCAGCTGAACCTAAAAACGTGTTGTATAGTGTTTGAAAGACTAATTATTTGTATGCTTTATAGTGTCTCTAGGAAAAATATAATGTGTAACACGAGTGCCTTTGCTGCACTCGAGATCATTCCGCACGAGCCGCCAAAGTGCCACTTTGCCCACTAGTTACACAAATAACTATTTAAATCATCTTTGAAATTTATCTCAACATTTTATATTTTTTTCTTCAAGATTTATTCGCTGATATCAAAACTACATCAGAACTGATGCTTTCTCTAATAGGCCTATCTATTTCCTTATTGTGATTATGAGTAGGCCTATAAATGGTTAACTAACTGAATAGTGAATAGCCATCATTTTAAATGTGTATTGGATTATGCTACGCACCATAAAGCTTTCTATAGGCTATTCATTAACTTAGGCCCACAAAATTCCTTCGGCTATTAAGTTAGCCCACATTGAACTCCAAGTCATTTCTTTCTTAATAAAGATAATTCCTAATTTGTGTTTTATTTCTGTCTAATGAGGTAAGTCTTTATCTTAAATTTATAAAATATGAATAATTTTAACAATTAAATAGATTTAGTAGGTTACAATATAAAATTTATTAATGAAATACAAGATAAGTTATTGGTTGAATTAGCTACAGGGTAAGTTAACAATGGTAAATTTTCAAAATGGTGGGGTTTCCAAAGTGGATGATATTATTCTAGGCTTATATTGGGTTGGTTTCTTCTGAAGTACTAATTAATATTTAAATAGGCTATGAGCTCTTAATCTCAGGGAGGGGTGGTCGTGCCGGTTCGAATGATATATTAGGCTTCTTTAAAATGTAGATAATTTGATTTAGTTATTATTCTGAAATACTAGGTTCGTGATGCTATTAATATAATAATGTTAAATGTCCAAAGAAAGATTCCAAATGGTTTCACTGAATTTAATGAAATAAAATAGAATTTGAAGATTAAATTTTGAATAAAAGTTCAATTTGAAATATATATATATCTTGATGAGTTAGGTTAATTGGGCCTAGTAGGCTATGCTTATTAAAGGTCCAATGAAGATTAAATTTGTCCTTAGTTAAATAAGATGGATGATGGTTACCAAATTTGGAGTGTCTGTCTTCTTATAAATTGGTACTCTTCAATGCACTTGTCCAATACTTTTGGATGATGAGAAATTTAAATTTTAGGTTTTACTTTGGGATTATGCATTTTAGTTTAAATTAAACACAATTTCCAATAGAATGATGTTCACACTGTGAAGAGTTGGCAGGATCTGGGGAGAGGCAATCGTAGAAGCTCAGGAAGTCCATGTCCATTGTTGAAGTGATGTACAGCTGGTTAATTTACATGAATGACACTTGCCACAGTAATTTTGATTTTCTTTGGATAATTTTGAAAAATAATACTATATTTAAGATGTGATTACTATATTGCAATTTTCTTACAATTATATATTATTCTAAATAAATGATTATTGTTGGTTTTTGATGAGTACAGGATAGGTATGGTGAAAATTGGCATAACTATTATATTGTAACATAAAATAGGATGATGTTTCTGTGGGGTGATGGGATACTATATAACATTGAACAAAATTGGATAAAATAACACATTAACAAGGGGAACAAATTAAATAACTGATAACACATTATCAGGGGCATTAACAGACATTGTGAGAGAAAATATACAAAATAAAAGAGAAATTAATGTTAATGATGAATGAATGACATGTAATATTACAAATTATCCCCACAGAAATCTGTATGCTATGAAATGAAATACAGATTTCGACAAAATATGAAATGGAATCATGAATCATTAATATGAATGATACTTAAAGATAGGTATGAATAACATTAAATGATTGATTTTCTGGATGATAGAACATTGAGTGATAATACAACAAAATTATAATCTAAGTTAACAAATGTGTAGGACAATAACATTAAAATGGGAAAATAGAATAGAGTGTTCATGGCCTGGCATGGGAAGAAAGGGATATTATGGCTGTTGTTCCATACTGTTCAATATCAAATAACTTTATTGTTTCTTTTTATTAAGGATATCACAGTTTATTAGTTAGTAAGTATTGTTTATAAACTTTATCACCTGTGTATCAGTTTATGGAAAATACAATTTATGGGGTCACGCACTCGAATTATAGTGTTATTCCATCGTCAGAGTCTTGGGCTGATGGATGTCAACTTCATGGTTAAGTTTAAAATCTTAGCGTTTCCTAGCTGTTTTACCGATAACTTGTGAAGTTGACATCCATCAGCCCAAGACTCTGACGATGGAAAAACACTATAATTTGGATTTGGGCACTTTGCCCGTTGTGAGTGCCTCAGAGTTTATCAAAGATCGACTCTATTTTGTAACCTTCTTACGAATCACCAGTGGCAAGCCAAAATCAACCGTTAAAACTCATTACTTTTGCATAGATGATGAATTGGTCTATGAAAATTTTTATTCAGATTTCAGCCCTCTCAATCTGGCAATGTTGTATAGATACTGTACGACTGTCAACCAGAAACTCCAGATGTATACTACAGGAATCAGAAAGAAAAAGATTATCCATTACACCACGATGGATGCACAAAAACGGGTCAATGCAGCCTACCTGATAGGCTCTTATGCGATCATCTACCTGAAGAAACCTGTTGATGAAGTACACAAGATTTTATTGGGTGCCAGGAATCCCCTTTCCTCAATTTCAGAGATGCTTCGTATGGGACTACCCTGTACCATATTAACCTGAAAGACTGCCTTCAAGCTATTCATAAAGCCCATGAGCTAAACTTCTTTGACTTTTCTGATTTTGATGTTGAAGAATATGAACACTATGAGAAAGTGGAAAATGGTGACCTGAATTGGATTGTACCCCAGAAGTTTATTGCGTTTTGTGGATCTCATGGAAAAAGCAGAATAGAGAATGGCTATCCACTGCATTCACCAGAATCGTATTTTGCATACTTTTGCAAAAACAATGTGACAACTGTTGTCCGGCTGAACAAAAAGATTTATGAGGCAAGCAGGTTCACAACCGGTGGCTTTGATCATAAAGAACTCTTTTTCTTGGATGGGAGCACACCCACAGATACTATTGTACGTCAATTCCTGAGTATTTCTGAGAACGCCACTGGAGTAATAGCTGTTCATTGCAAAGCTGGACTGGGGCGAACTGGCTCCCTGATAGGTTGCTACATCATGAAGCATTACAAATTCACAGTTCTTGAAGCGATTGCTTGGATACGGATATGCAGGCCTGGCTCTATCATTGGTCACCAGCAGGAGTGGCTCAAGATGAAAGAACCTCAGATGTGGATGGAAGGTGATCAGATGCGAAGATTGCAAGGCCGCAGCTGTCTACCCAAGCACACGTATGGCATTTACAGCATAAAGTGGAAAGAGATGATAAACAGAAGTCCTTTCTCCGCACAGAAGATAAGGAAAGCATCCGATACGCTGTCCAGGATCCTGCACAAAGTGGACACCATGAAGCTTGAGGATCAGAACGAGGGAGAAGAAGATGGGACATACTCTTGAAAATAATCCAACCTACTGTTGGAAAGAAGTAAAGTGCAAAACAACAAACCTGACCCAAGGAGATCGTCTGAACCACATAAAGGCGTTGAGAAGACATCATCCCAGAACAATAGGATCCAGCAACCTGTACAGCAGCAGTACCAGGATGAACACCAGATCAAAACAAAATGTCAACGTTGCACCGGAGACTTGCCCAGTCAAGCTAGCGAAGGTGACTGGATTGACATCACCAGAATCAACAGGCTCTGCTCTGAGCGTCAAACGCATCTCTCGATCCACTGTTGTCGTCAACAAAAGGAAAATCAGCAACAATGAAATTAAAGTGCCCATTAAAGGAAAGCTTTATGGTGTGTAGCAAATTTGGCGCCCAACGTGGGGTGCCAAATTTGCTACGCACCATAAAGCTTTCTATAGGCTATTCATTAACTTAGGCCCACAAAATTCCTTCGGCTATTAAGTTAGCCCACATTGAACTCCAAGTCATTTCTTTCTTAATAAAGATAATTCCTAATTTGTGTTTTATTTCTGTCTAATGAGGTAAGTCTTTATCTTAAATTTATAAAATATGAATAATTTTAACAATTAAATAGATTTAGTAGGTTACAATATAAAATTTATTAATGAAATACAAGATAAGTTATTGGTTGAATTAGCTACAGGGTAAGTTAACAATGGTAAATTTTCAAAATGGTGGGGTTTCCAAAGTGGATGATATTATTCTAGGCTTATATTGGGTTGGTTTCTTCTGAAGTACTAATTAATATTTAAATAGGCTATGAGCTCTTAATCTCAGGGAGGGGTGGTCGTGCCGGTTCGAATGATATATTAGGCTTCTTTAAAATGTAGATAATTTGATTTAGTTATTATTCTGAAATACTAGGTTCGTGATGCTATTAATATAATAATGTTAAATGTCCAAAGAAAGATTCCAAATGGTTTCACTGAATTTAATGAAATAAAATAGAATTTGAAGATTAAATTTTGAATAAAAGTTCAATTTGAAATATATATATATCTTGATGAGTTAGGTTAATTGGGCCTAGTAGGCTATGCTTATTAAAGGTCCAATGAAGATTAAATTTGTCCTTAGTTAAATAAGATGGATGATGGTTACCAAATTTGGAGTGTCTGTCTTCTTATAAATTGGTACTCTTCAATGCACTTGTCCAATACTTTTGGATGATGAGAAATTTAAATTTTAGGTTTTACTTTGGGATTATGCATTTTAGTTTAAATTAAACACAATTTCCAATAGAATGATGTTCACACTGTGAAGAGTTGGCAGGATCTGGGGAGAGGCAATCGTAGAAGCTCAGGAAGTCCATGTCCATTGTTGAAGTGATGTACAGCTGGTTAATTTACATGAATGACACTTGCCACAGTAATTTTGATTTTCTTTGGATAATTTTGAAAAATAATACTATATTTAAGATGTGATTACTATATTGCAATTTTCTTACAATTATATATTATTCTAAATAAATGATTATTGTTGGTTTTTGATGAGTACAGGATAGGTATGGTGAAAATTGGCATAACTATTATATTGTAACATAAAATAGGATGATGTTTCTGTGGGGTGATGGGATACTATATAACATTGAACAAAATTGGATAAAATAACACATTAACAAGGGGAACAAATTAAATAACTGATAACACATTATCAGGGGCATTAACAGACATTGTGAGAGAAAATATACAAAATAAAAGAGAAATTAATGTTAATGATGAATGAATGACATGTAATATTACAATTAGAGTGCTTTGATGTTATTTGATATCTGTGGAAACGGTTTTGAGTCTTGAGTTCGGGCATGGACCAACTATAGTCCTGTCACAAAGATAAAGGTGGTTTAAGTGGAAGGTTTCCTGGGTCCCAGCACCACTTTTTCTACCTTAATGTATATATCAGCTGTTGGCAGTTGTTTCAAAGTTATGGTGAGGTGGATGGGATTGAATCATGGTGGAAGGAAAAAACATAGGTGTGCTATTCCCACATATTCTGACGTCACTCGGATTGCAAACAAAAGATCACCTGATTGTAACTGTCAAATTAGTATGTGTATTTGTTTTGATTTGATTGTTATTGTTTTTATTATTATGAAAACAATAACAATCAAAATCAAAACAAATACATATACTAATTTGACAGTTACAATCAGGTGATTTTTTGTTTGCAATCCGAGTGACGTCAGAATATGTGGGAATAGCACACCTATGTTTTCCTTCCACCATGGGATTGAATAGTTTCCCCTCAAACTGCTTAAATTTTGTGAACAAAGTATAACAAATGTGTAGACTTCTTATCGTTGTAAAATCTGAAGCATGTTTGATGTTAGTAACACTGAGCGTTAGAAATGTTTATCTATTTTAGAGTTGATTTCATGACTTGTACTTTACTTTTTGGTTATAAAATCAGAGGACGGACTATTGTTTATAATTAGATTATTTTATTTGATTAAAACTAAATAGTAGGCCTAATAAAATAACAAGAAACAAATTGTATAAAAGTCCCTAGAGACAGACTGAACTAATATTAAAATTATCTTCATCTTATCCATAAGGATGACAAATCTACCAAAGATTTATTTTCTATTTTTCGGTCATGCCAGTGGTGTTATGGGAACCTTTTATATGACAAATATCAAAGAGGGAATCATTTTGCAGAATCTGAAGTAACACACATAGCCTATGGTTCTGTAAAAGTAAAGATTACAAAATTACATTAATATTATCAGTATTTCCTGACAGTAAAGTGGCGGTCCCAGGATTTCATTTCAGGGGGGATGACCAACGGGGGGTTGTGAAAAAAGGGAATTTAGGGGTCCCCCCTGGAAAAATGTGGAATTTAAAGCCTAAAATAGTTATTTGTGCAACTAGTGAGAAAAGTGAGCAATTGACTCACTCGAGAGAAATCCTTACTCACGAGCCGTAGGCGAGTGAGGAATGGTTTCTCGAGTGAGGCAATTGTACTTTGAACTCGAGTTGCACATTATACTTTTCCTACAGTTACCATAAAACAAATAAATTTGTGAAGAAACATAACCTATTTTTACACAGTAGTGAACTTTTAATATAATATTTAATGTGAAGTGACAAATACAACAGTACAACAGCTGACCAGCTGATTTACAGCCAGTGCTGCCAACGTATTTCGCGCGCATACGGCGCATACGACGTTGCCTGCATGTTACGCGCTCACTATTTCGTGCCTTCACGTTGCAAATCTGGAGTGAGACAAAGTAATTAGAGTGGGACAATGTTAACATTGTCTCACTGATGAGCGAATTGGCCACTTTGCTTTCTCAAATCAGTGAGAGAACATGTACATTGTTAGGTAACTGTAGGAAAACATATTTTCATACTTATTTGAGCTCTAAAATATGCTCAAGCTAATAGTATACGTTAGTTAGATAAAAAAATATATTTTGTGGGGATATATCCCTCCCATCCCCTCCCTGGGAATACCACTTAGACAGTCTGTCATCATATTTTACTAAATACTCCATATTTAGATATTGAAGATGAATATTTTCTGTTGGAAGTTTTGGCGCATCGGTTCTGAAGGGTAACTGGGTTTATCTTCTGTTCAACAATCTCAACCCCTCACAAAGAATGTTCCTACTCACTATCAGCTACCCCTTGACTATTGTCTTTCTCACAATCAGCCGAGGACTTAACAGCTTCGTTAAAGGTAAGTAATGGGCTTCAATCTGGTGTAAGACATTTGTCAAATCACAAATATTAGAAAGAGAAACGGTATGGACCGTAAACATATACAAATGGGTTGGGACCACTCGGACCACTTTCCCTTTGAAAGCGTTTAAGAACTTTGACTTCAATTTAAAATGCCACTGGAGTAGGAATTAAATGCTATCACTGGCCCAAACGTAAACATGTTTGTGTTACTATTATTATTTGTCTGGACTTTTCCAAGAATATGTTAAGATTGTTAGAAAAGTCCAAACAAATAATAATATTAACATTTCAGAACTGACACAATGAATTTTAATAACATGTTTGTATTCTTTCTTAACAGGAACAGTGAAACAAATTCCAAACCTTATTTATTTGTAAAGGATTCAGGTAAGTTAGGTTATTTGTTTATGTTTATGATCCATGCTGTTTCTGTTTTAATATCCATAAGTCAAATGTGTGTAGATATATGTCAACTCTTTTAGACTAATGCAGTGGTGGTTCTAGGACCTTGTTAGGGGGGGGGGGGGCTACCGGGCATTTGAAAGAAAGGAAAGGGGTCTGGGGTTCTTCCCGAAAGATTTGGCATTTCAAACCTGTTTCGTGACTCTAATGCCATTTTCAACATCTAGAACTGTATCCAAAAATTTTTAATTTTAAAATTTAGTTTAGTATTCAATTTCCAGGGTTCAATAGGGAGGAGGCTTGAACCCCCCCCCCCCCCCCCCCCACTTGAAACCCCCACTGGACTTGTGTATAATCTGTCAAATCACATAACTCTAGTCCTAGTCACTACTATTTTGTATAATTAATTAAATTTTTTCCGAAGAACATGATATGTTTATCAGGGTCTAAAATTTACGTTTTGGGAGGAGGGGGGGGGGGGTAAATAATAAATTATCAATTTTGTTAGTGATTAAAAAATGTTTACTTAAGTATCAATTTTGTGATTGCCAAAACATGGTAGGTAAGAAAGGGATAAGTTCCCTTGAATACAGGACTATAATATTTTATTTTTAAACATATATTTATGAGATTTGAATGTCAATAGGTAACAATTGTTTTATCTAACATTATTGAACTTTGTTTTGGCTTTTCCCAGTGCCTGATTAGTTTCTTTTTTAATTTGTTTCTTACAAGCACTAAACAATGTGTTGGTTAAATAAGTTCAAACTTGAATAATATGTATATAAACATTTACATTCATACAAATTTAACTAATAAGAGTTCATATTAAAAGCTTACACACTGTTTTAAGTGAGTTATTCTATAAAATTGCAACTTAGCACAACTAACTAGGCCTAAGTTTTAGAAATATAATTAAAAAATAATTTAATGTTTTTTTTTTAGGTAAAATATTATTAGTTCAAATGTGAATTGTTACAGGGACCAAGGAAAAATATGCAGTCAAAGAAAAGGGTAGCCAATGAATTTGTATTTGTTATAAAATAAATTATTTGTGTACCGGTACTCCAATTAATTGTGTTTCTTTATGAAAGATTTTTTTAGGAACTCCTTTCAATTGAATTAATAGAGGATTGTTTTGATTTATTATTGCACACTCCTAGTTATTTATAACAAAAAAATAACACAAAAGTAAGCTTCCACAAGTATATAAGCAGAAATAAGCTTTTGTGGAGCAATTATAGTTGTATATACTGTTTAGTCAATGACTTTTTTTTATTAATATTTAATTTCTACAAAAATGAAATTTGCATTTTGCGTTACAATCAACTTTAACCAAGAATAGTAGAAAAAACCCGGTATGGATCATACACATAAACAAATGACGTTTTTAGCCGGAAAGTAAACAAAACCATGTTAATTAATGCTATTAGTATATAGGGGTTTTGTTTACTTTCAGGCCAAAAACGTCATTTGTTTATGTTAATGATCCATACCGGGTCTTTTCTATTATCCGTGACTAACTTTAAAGGCCAATTAACTTAAACTACAGCTTGATACAAAACAACAAAAAAACCACAAAGAGTATTTTTATAATTCATCAGGCTCCTAAAGGACATTTGGATATTTCTCGAGCTTTTACATAAACTAAGAATCAAACGTACTAACAGATTTGGATTCTTACTGTCATCTTATTGGATCGTTGTATTGATCTGTGGATGCGATACTCCCTGGTGTGGATTAATGTCCAAACTAGTCAGCACTACGAAAATCTGCAGTACTATCCTGACAACTAGATCAGTTTGTAAATTAAAAGGCTAAAGTGGTTCAGATTCCACTATAAACTGTAGGTCCCTTAGTTGCCATTGGCTGTATGGGCTATTAATTAACAGTCTTGTCTGAGGAACAAGTCTGCCTTATTCACTATCAAGACTACAAGATCGCGCCACATCCTACACTGATTTCCATTCATACTTGGCTTAAAATACCTACCTTTGTATGGTCGCCATTTTAAAATTTTAAGTAAAAAAAGGAAAGTATTTCCTAGTTAATAAAAAATTGATTAGCCTTATATACAAACCATCCAAAATCCACCTTTTATTAAAAAAGAACTGCCGCCTACATTCTACATATCAATATTTATTTAAAAATAATTGATGAAAGGGAAGTAGAAAGAAATTTATACAGTCAAGCAACATAACCTTAATTCAGGTACCAATTTTATTATCAAAATTTAAGTTGAGTAAAATGACATTAAAATATTGAAATTGTCCTTGGAAAAGGTCATATTTGTTTTTCAGGCTCTTTGGTGCTTGATTTAGATACCTGCATACAGTAATCCTTGGTTGGTGTAGTGGCAACTAGTTTCAGTTCATGAACCATCCTCAGGACTACAAGGAGACGGATCAATCACGTAATTTGAATGTATGATTGAATCAATGACTGGGACGGGTGGTGTCGTCCTGTAATCCAGCTACTAGGAGGTCACGAATTGTGGATATTTATAGGCATGCACTGTGGATGCGATGCTCCCTGGTGTGGATTAACGTCCGCAGGAGTGAGTACTTTAACTATCCGCAGTACTATACTGATAAATAGACCAATTTGTATATACCAAGGCAAAAATGTGGTTTGGATTCCACTATAAACTGTAGGTCCCTTAGTTACCATTAGCTGTATGGGCTATTAATTAACAGCTGTGTCTAAGGAATGTCGGCCTTAGTCACTAACAAGGCTACAAGATCGCGCCACTCATCCTTCACACATCTCCATTCATACTTAGCTTAAAATACCTATGTTGTATGGTCGCCATTTAATAAGAAATTTATACGTCTACATTAATGATCTTCCTATAAATATAAATACACAATCTGTTATATATGCGGATGATACAACTTTACTCGCTAACCATTCTAATTTAACAACCCTGCGCTTAATTAGTCAAGAGGCTGAACATAGAGCATATGATTGGTTTTCTGCAAACAGACTATCTTGTAATTCTGACAAATCACAATATATAACAATCAGTCTTAAAACAGAGGTAAAATTTGAATCAGTTAAACTTTTAGGATTTAATTTGGATTCAAAATTAAATTGGTCATCACACATAAAATCTGTTTGTAACAAAATTTCAAGAGTGAGGTGCTTGCTGTGGAAACTTAAGGATTTTGTTAGTCAAGAATATTTAAGATTGGCGTATTTTGGACTTTTTCAATCGCACATACTATATGGTCTTATTTTGTGGGGCCACTCTCCACATATTAACGACATCCTTTTACTCCAGAAAAAGGCGGTTCGAAGCATTGCTGGAGAATGCTCAGATACACATTGTAAACCTCTTTTCATTAATTTCAGGATACCAACCATAGTAAATCTTTATATATTCCAAATTCTAATATATACAAAGTCAAACTTAGATCAATTCTCTTTCCGAAAAGATGTACACAATCACTATACAAGAGGTAGGGATAAAATAGATATATTGCAGCACAGATTGGCAAAAACCAAACATTCACATAAATTAAATTGTATAATGTTTTTTAATAAGCTGCCTGAAGAAGCAAAATTAGTTTCTTACAGTATTTTTAAAAATAAAATGTATGACTGGATTGTTAAAAATCCCTTTTACAAAATTGATGATTTTTTAAGTTGTGAAGTAAATATTAGATTTTGAAGAGTAAGTTGAAATAAAGCTTTTATTTTCATGTAAGTGGCTATTTAGATTTAGATATTTTGTACTGTAAACACTGAATCACCTTGTAACTATGTATAACAATGACGTGTCCTATTTCTTTTATAAAGATCAATGGAAATAAATATTTCTTATTCTTATTCTTATTCTTATTCTTATTCTTATTCTTATAAAGTATTATTGCTACTACAGCAACCAATGATTACTTTATTCAGGTGTTCAAACCATTTTAAGGTATACGTTTATAAAAAGTGTTCAGGAGGTTACACAACTTGTTTGAAAAAGAAATTTGATGGTTGAATCCAAAGTTTCCTCTTAAGAGAAAACTTAATGTCAGAAAGATTTGTTAGTGAGAAGTAAAACACTCTAGTGATTTAAAATAACATCCATACTATTTATTAGTTTGATCTATTAGGATTGTAATATTATTGACAGTTCACTATCGAGTAGTTTACTAAAAGTTTTGAAGAGTCAAAGGTAATATAAATAATACTTCCATCGTTGTTGCATTATTTAATACTAAACAAGATCTAAAGATATTCAACAATATATACAGCTAAAATAAATAAGTATATCCTGTAAATTTAACATTTTTGGTACATTAATAATCACAAAATTTGTCTCCTAAACAAAGAAATTCGAGAAACTAGCTTATGTTCAATATTGTTTCTTCCTCTTGTAGTGGGGGAGTTAGCTGACTGGATTTATTAGTATTTTTAAGATTGTGGATAAGTTTATCAATACTTTCTAGCAGGACAGGCTTGTTGTCAACTTTTATTACGTGATAGTCTACTTTAATTTCCTCCTCTTCTTCTGGAAGTTTCTCTGTCGTTGTTGTTATTCTATTTGACTCTTCTTCATTGTCTTCAGGAGATTCTAAATTGTGGGTCTCTTCTATTATAACAGTCTCCTAGAATAATAGAACAAAGTTAATGGACTAAGTGGAAGCATATACTTATAAAACATATACTCCCTTTGTAGATTTCTCATCCCTATGGAAAGACTTATGCCAATCTTATTGTTGGTTCTGTCTGGTGCACTATAGAGATCGTGTTTTGTTTACAATTTGTTTCTTGTTATTTCAGCCATTTAAAACCTCCTATAAAACAAAATAAAACGATCTAATCATAAACAATAATTCGTCCCCTAGTTATATAACCAAACAGTAAAGCACAAATCATGCAATTAACACTATAATAGAAACAAAATGTTATCGACACTAGCAATAGCAACCAGAGTCACCGGAGATGAACTAGACACAAAAAACAAGCTTCAAAATTTATCCGATGAGAAGTCTACTTGTGTTGGTTAGTCTATGGTGGAAGTAAATTACCCAAAGACAAATGTTTACTTCAATCAAATCATCTTTATTCATTATTCCTATATCATACTGTTTGTTATGGAGAAGTCATACAAGTTGGTCTACGTTATTTTTAAATAAAAAATTGGCTAAAGCTGGTCAATGTAATTATGAGATGTCTACTTCAGTACGGTATATAAAAGTCAATGATTCAAGTTAAAAATGAACTTAACAATACCTTGTTGTTTGAGGGCTCAAAGTCTTCCTCAAGTTGGGGATCCCTCCACAGCCACAAGTTGATGCGAGGTAAAGTTTTGCTGTTGCATGGCACTCTGGGATTTCTGAAAAGATACTCTGAGATAACATTTTTTTGTAAAGATGTCTTTAGGCCAGGGTTTTTGAGGATTTTGTAGTGGGTAAGGTTAATAGTTGGCTTACAAAGACACTACAAAATTGTATGTGTTTATCTGTTTATTTATGCATTTTCATCTATTTTCAAGTAAGGGTAGCTTACCTGGCAAAGTCTGGGATCTCCATGGCCTTCAGCTGGATAGTTTCTACAGTGTCGCTGTTGTCACAAACCAAACGGGACAAACGCACCTTCCTGATCTCGTCCAGTTGTTCTATAAAGACAAATAACTTTTTAGTTTGAAAGGAGTATAGTATATATGAATGAAATGAAATGAAATGACTTCAGCTGATCCTCCCCTCGTGGAAAAAAATTCTCTTCAACATTCTCTTTAAGAAGTCACATACTGTTATAGGACTACTTATCATAATGTAATATTCTAGTTTTTGTTTAGCTCTTGGAATTTGTTTACAGTACTCTAAGCTATTTTAACTCCTTTACAAAAACTTCCAAATTAGCCACTTAGCTTTCTACAAAAATATTTAATTTCTTAGTGAGCTTAAACACATGTGCTATCATTCCTACTAACACAGCTACTCTAACACAACTTACCCAGGGTAAAAGAGCTCGGCCATCCCCCATTCTCGTACCAAAAGCGATCACCTCGTTTGAGATCTCGGAATGTCATAGCAATCAGACAGTTGAACGTTGGTCCAACCATGCTGCCTCGCTGCGGCTTCTCTGCGACACCGGCCGACCACAGATCTACGTCATCTGGATGGCTGCAACAATAACAGAGAAATGTGTTCATACTCACAAATCATTTAGACAGAAGACAATATCTTTTACTCGCTCAGCTGTTGCTTAGTATCAATCTTGCTTGGAATAAAACCTTCAGATTTGAAGGCGTTCTTTATACAATACCGCCCCAACATTGGTTTTGGAGTCATATTTTTCCTGGTTAAGTTGAAGCTTAAAGGTACTTAAAATTTGGTAAAATAGGTTTTCGAGAGTATAATCAATTGTTTCTTATTACAATATTTTTGCAGAAGATAATAGTATCAAAATTCAAAGACATAAGCCTACCTGAACATCTCGTGGTAGTGAGTGACAGTAACGTTGGACATATGATGTATCATATCCGACCATGAGAACATGTCTGGCAGACGACAAAGACGCCGGAACCGGTTGAACCCTGGGACGCCATGCTCTCTGGCTCGCGCCACGTTGATAGCTGCCAGGTCACGGCCCCAGCCCTGGGCTGGCTCTTGGAACAAGTGGTTTGTCACCTGTAAAGTGAAGTTGGTAGGACTAAATCTAATCAGTGTTTAGGAGATACAGAGTTTCTCCAAAGTCAACAGTTCAGGAAATATACCCAAAAGTGTATAGTTTGGGACACGCTGTATTCCAACATTAGATGTTACTCGTATTTGTTCTACAAGTTAGTGCCTCAAACTACAAAGTACTATCGACCTTTGTGGGCGAGTGGGATGAGTCTTTGTCTTTGGGTAACAACTGTGTGGATGCAGATGACAAAGAAGTAGTTCTTGACGTTTCATAAGTTTTACAGTCTCTTCTTCCTTTAGTGCCTTAAGAATGGACTGCTCCAGAATGTCAGCAAATACTTCATTGTCATGTGCATCCATGCGGCCAACACCCAAAGACCAGGATTCATCAACTTTAGGAATTGGCCTTAAAACTTGAAAGCATATTTCAAAGAATGGTATGCCTGCATTCAAAGTCAAAGGATTATCACCTCTTCAGTGATAGAGTCGTCCATGGCTTGCGCTAGTTGATTGGTCATACCAAGGATGTATTGGTCGTACGCTCCCGGCTTGTAGAGATCCCAGGGTTGCTGCAACATGGCACTGAGGCGACGGGCTCCTGCAAGAAAACCAATACACTAAAAATTAGATTAGAATTTTTCTACACATAGCGTATTACGGTGCAAATATTAGTAAAGGATGAGTGAGTGAATGGATATGATAAAACGCTTGATTTTCATTTTGCTTTGACCCATAAAATCACTTCCCAAAGTTTGGCTGTTTACTCATGGGACACTCTATTATAAGTTTGAAGAAAGTAACCAAAGTCTTTTTTACAGTTTTCTAATTATGTCTCGTACATGCTTTCATTTTTTTCATTTTCAAACAACAGAAACAATTGCTTGAGTCAGCAAAATATACTACAATGAGATGACAAAGAACTCAGGAGATCCGTTTAGTATTTTTTCATGGGAGGGAGATTATAAGCTACCTTAACATATATTACATTTAGTCCCATATATATTTACATTTAGTTATTCTTAGTGAACATATGTTATGTTAACCTCAGTGACAGGAATGCTTATTTCTACGAGAGTTCTGAACTTAATTCCATTAATATGTCTCCCAAAGTAACTATGGTGTCCTTCAAAGGTAGCATTACTGACCGACATACTGGTGCGAGGGGCTCCACCGCTCCAGGGCACGGGGCAGCAGGGAGTGACCGAAGCGGAAGGCGGCCGTTGCAAACGCTGCAGGAACTGAGGCATCTACCTGGGGACTGTAGTCGTCCGAGTAGCCCTGAAAAGTGGTAAAGATTGTGTCAATTAGCTTGGCGTGTGGTAAGGAAGATGCAAAGGCTCCAAGAACACTGAGATTGAGTAGTACCCCTAGCTTGTGAACTAATTTTTAAAATGACTGTGAAGGATGATAAAAGGATGGTTGTGGGGGAAGGATTCTAATGCTACACATCCTGCTCGCCTCTCTAAACGAAACGATCTATTACTCTAACAATGAGGAACAGGAGGATTAATTTTATAAGAATCACAAGAATTGCAATTCTTAATTATTTTTTTTATAAACTAAATTAAATGGGGCCTTTAGTGTTAAACGTGGTTAAACCCAAATAACATGGATTTGAATAAGAAAATTAGGTTTTTTGTCTTTTAAACAAAAACTAAAAGAGATACGAAGTAAGTAAAGATTACAAAGTTATTAAGAAATAAAAAAAAACCTATAAAATGATGTGCCACTTGACATATGTTGCTATTTGAAAATGTTTAACAATGTTTATTTGCAAATGTTTAAAAATCATTTTTTTATTATTTTTTATTATAAAAAAAACCGTTACTTGTAGCATATCAAAGTAAAGCTAATTTCATAACGAGTAAGAAAATTCAACCTGAGAGGGCTAAGTGCATTGGTATAGGAAACACAGAGTATTAAAAACGTATTGATTTTTCCAAAATAAGCTGCCGCTATTTGGAAACGGAAAAAGATAATTCATTTCTGTTTTTGCTAAAAAGTTTTTATCTTAGATACTGTACCTTTAAAATTATGTATAACATGACATATATTTACATTTGAAAATTCCGAGATTCGATCTAGTGACCCTCAGTTACTGGCACACCCTGTATCGTAAACAAGTTGAAAATATTTTTTTTTTATTTTTACGTTATTCTTTGGGGTTGATTTAGCGGAAAACAATTTTATTTCATCGCTGTACGTTAAGCCGTTCTTCCGTAATCAATTTGAGACACCTTATGTGGGACACCTGTATAAATTCCAAAGTGCACTTTTGAGAAAACTACAACTCACACCCCCATAAACCATATGCTTAAAATGATCGTCATGACGAGAATTCTGTTTTTTTTTTATTATTATCTTAACTTAACCAATCAATAGTTTTATTAATACTTATGAAGCCAAACGGGGTGAAGCCCGTGGGTAACAGCTAGTACGAAATAAATCTTAGTTATTTAAAAATAATTCAACATGGATTTCTGAAGAACTTCTAGATTCCCAAAGGATACTATCTTAAAGTATCCTTACGCATATCATACAATAAGCAATAAGCCTACACGTTTTACTACAGTTACAGAAACGAGGAAATTCAAATTGGAGATTTAATGAACCGTTACAATTTCCACCAATATGAATTACAGTCATAAAATATATCACGTCATCGCCAAGACAGCTGGCGACAACTGTGATATTGAGATATTCCACCAACGTCTGTTTATTCAGGCGCCAAGGAATCAAGGACAGCGCAAACAACGAAGTGTGCGCGCCCTGTAAAACAAACATAACCGGTCGCCATCTTGGATTTTTCATCTCTTTGAGTGCTTAGTCTAGATTAAACACAAGCTTATGAAGTTTCCTTGGATCGCTTTTCAGTCGTGCAATTGTCTTTGTTTGTGGAGAAACAATATTTGAATTGTAGAAAAGTGAGAGTCGTGTGATAAACTGTTTAGATTGTGAAAAGTGTCATTTTTTAAATTTAGGGTTAACCTGATCCAAATTAATGTCTCTTCTACATAAATGCTGGGTATTATTGAGCAACGGGTAAGGGTTTTGGTTTAAAATTGAATTAAAATCAAAATTGGTCGAATGTCATTTGAGTTAGTTTTTATTGCATTCATCTGTAACACAGATAATCCTTAGAAGAGCCTGAGTATTCATTTTGCAGTCATATTGGTGTGCATTTTCATTATGAGCTGAATTTGTCGAGTTTTAGTTTTGTATTGCGTTTTAAGCTGTTTGAATATTATTAATAGGCATCGTCTCTTATAATATGTTACTACACGAGAGAACGAGGATGACCCATTAAGTTCAGCCCAAAGTTTAAAATCATCAACTAAAATCTCCCAATTTTGAATATATGAAACTGTATCAATCGCTATGTTTTTGAGATTATTTCTGAGAATAACCTCTCAGAGGCTGTACTTGAGTGTGAACAGTCAAAAAACTTTATTTCCAATGTTATTTTTTTAACTCTCTACCTAGATGTCCCTTTTGGATCTTCCTTTTATTAACCATCATATTTGAACGAAACTTAAATGTTCAAAATTATATTTGGTTGGACCTCTTTATTTATTCCAATGATCGCGGTTTATTTCACATGGATACAACAATCGTTTTACATTTTGGTTAATTCTTAGTAGTGGTTTGATAAAATTTGCCTCTAGGGTACGCTCTCATTATATATCAACAAGCTGGATTTTTACTTTCTCCTCCTATACATAGTATTTGGAGAAAGTATTGTTTTCGTCAACATTTTCGAGTTTGAGTTTTGAGTGGATATATGCGTTTTGGGTCCCCCTGAACCCAAAAAAAAGTGGTTTTCGAAGGGGTATCGGTCCGTTCGTGTGTCTGTCTGTGTGTGGATGTGTACACACATACAGATGAAATTTGGTATGTAGGCACTAATCCATGGTATCTCCATGCGATTTTTAAATTTTTTTGAAATTTTGGTTTTTTAATGGTGATTTTCTCATAAAACCCATAAAATAACGGGAAAATTGTATCTTCTCGAAAAAGGCCCGAGCCATTTTGGCAAACATTTAGTATTTTATGGACCTTTACATTCTGAGCAAAATAGTACAAATCCCATTTCCGTAAAAATGACGGTTCAAAATTATTGTAACTTATCTTATTTTCCTATTAAAAACACCATAAAGTAACAAAAAGTCTGATTTTAGAAAAAAGCCGGTTTTGATTAAATTAGTGTTGTCTTTATTATTAATTCTAAAAAATAGTACAATCCCTCATTGCTGTAAAAATTACGGTTCAAAAGTTATTGCAGCTTCTCTGATTTTCCCTAAAATATTTTAGTTACTCTCATCGCTTACCCCTTGATAAAAGTTGTTGACAATCTAATGTTAGAAAGTATGTGTCAGATTGCTGATAGCATTTAAATATTTTTATCAACTGCAGTATATTTCTCACCTGTTGTCTAAGTGTCAGGCCGTACCTCCTAATGGTGGACTCCCCCAGCAGCAAGGGTAGGAACTCTGAGAAGGTGATGTGTTGCACCATAGCGGCAACAATATGTCTGGCCTCCTAGATATCAACATTAATAAAGTTAATATTAACCAATAATATGGTAAATATTCGTGTAATAGAATCTGCAGCGAAGACACAGGAGAAAGTGAATTGTTGGACTCAATAGTGACTGCCATGGCCTCAAGAACATCAACACCAACAACATCAATTTTAATCAACAAGGCCAACTTCAGTAGTGTCGACATGAATAATGAAACAAACTATGCTAACGCTAATACCAACGACATCAACATTTTTTTTTAATACAAGTTGCTAAAGATGTTGATTGATTATTAGCGTTCTTTAAATATTATTGTTTAAGTTCTACATGACCAGAGCAAAGTTACTTTAGTAAAACATGCTATTAGAACAAAATTACGATCAATCACAAACTGGACTGAAACCACCAAAACAACCAATAGAAATAACAATACATATTATATTTATATTAATTGTACGTAGGTAGTTTGTACCACGTGAGTTTTGCTAACAGTTGACCTGAAAATGATAACAGTGTTTGGTTGAAAGGAAAACTGTATAAGTACATACAAAACAAACGAATGGCATTTGAATAACAGAACGATGAAGAATTAGAGGTCGAATATAGCTTCCATGTAATGTGAATAAAATTGACAAGACGCTACGAATCAGAAAGATTATTTTGTACTTCCAAACTTAAGACCATATTTTAAGGCAGGAACTATTACGAAAACTCAATAGCGTACCCCTTTTATACCCTTTACGAAAATGTCATTAATTAGTTTGCGGAAAGAACACAAGGGAAATTAAGAGGAGCAAGAGTAGCATTAACCAAGTTGGTTTTAAAGTAACCGATCATTTCTTGTCAAGCTGTTTCAAGATGGCGGACGCATTGTTAAACAGCCTTCAGGCGATCCGCAAATGAAAGACTATTAAAGTGCGACAGAGAGAGCGAACAGCAATTACCCGCCGCGGAACAGCAGTAAAAACTAATTGTGTTGGCGAAGAAAATCGGCCAAGTTTCCACTGATGAGAACAGAACATATTCTGAGAGCGCGATCGGCTGTTATTAGTAAGGAACAATAACCCTTCCCCCCCTTGGCAATTAATACGTCTCCCTGCTCTCAATAGCCGCTTCTGGGGGGGGGGGGGGGGGGGTAATTTCTTGAATCCACATGCCTCAGGCGACGAGCCAAGGAAATATGTTCCTGATAAATGTTTGCACCTTTCCTGGCTCGAGATTTCGAAAACATTCGGAGGAAATCGCAACATTTGAATATTTAAAACTCGATTTTTATTTCCAATTCCTTATTGATGAATTAAATGATCAATTTTTCATTTTTGTCCCACACAAAGAGCCCGAGCCGATAAACAGTTGTTTTTTACAGAACCATTAGAAAAAGTAGCTTGTCGTAAGCATATTGCACTATATCATTTTATTTGGTGGTGTAAGTGAAATAGGGTGTCTCTATTGGTGGCGTAAGTAAATTATATTTAATCACCATCGAGTTTTTGAAATCCAAAACTCAAAAACCTAATTTAGGATTTTCATCATATATCTATGTTTTTGTAGCTTAAAGTTTCTGAATTATTTAAGTTTATACATGTGACGCCCCGTATAACCAAAACCATTTAAGAGAACAAACACACTTGAAGCTCTCTGTGTGTTCCTTCGCATTACAAAGTATGTATTTGTTTCGTGCCGCGTACTGTGTGTTTGTACCCTAAAAGGCCTGGCACACACGGTCGATTTTTCGATCGGCCGATAAAAAAATCGGCCAAAAATAAATTGCCCTTGATTTATGTCCAGGCGCACACGTGGCGATTTTTTAGTCGAGAAATGAATTTTTTCGAGTGCGTTTAAGCTATCCTAAATGGATTTCGTAGAATTGTGCTCTTCTAATTACATAAAAAAAGAAGACAGCTTAAATATTGGGTTCATTCGATAGTAAGTCAGAGACTTTTAAATCAACAGTTTTATAAACTATACACTTTACGCAATGACAGTAAAAAGTTCTGTAATTACTATAGAATGTCTGTTGAAAGTTTCATTTTTTATCATGACAGCTGTGGCCTTTTTTTTAGCAAAGAAAATAACACAACTCACACTGAAATTCACTGACTCCTGTGGAGAACAATAAGCGACTGGCCGATTTTTTAGTCGACCGTGTGCGTGGCCTGATAACAACCTGTATGTTACAGATTTCCGGGCGACAATCGCCTCGCCTACGAATCTATAAAGCAATCCTGTCCAAAATTATTTTTTTAATATTTTGTTTTATTATTTTTTTTTTTTTAAATGTGTGATATAATTGAATAATAGGGAATTTGTACGTAGATTAATAATGCTATAGACATTCAACTATAAAAATAACCGTCGTAACAATCGGCGGATATATCCGCCTTCCGTCCGCTATGCACAAAATGCTAGCGGATATATCCGCCTACAATCTGGGGAAGGTTTTAAACCTTTTTTGTTGATGTGACCCAAAAATATTTTTCAAAGCTATGGCAGTAAAATACAGTTCGGTACTATGAGATTCGATGCTATGAGAACGTCTTACCTGGTACAAAGTCTCGTCGTCCCAGTGGGGGTTGATCTTTGACAGTTGCTTGGCAATGCGGTTGTGTTCCCTCACAAACATTGTGTGTAGCACACCCAAGGCCAGCTGTTCGTTTACTCTGTTGTCACCTGAAGAGTCATAAGGGGAGGTTCCGATAAATAAATTTACTATGATTGATTTCATAGCTGTGAAAGCCAGTTGAGCGATCACGTTTCATAGATTTTTGATAAAGCAATACATAAAAAAAAATTATAGGTAGATATACCGTAATGCAAAATACATCTATTTTATCATCTTATCAGATTCGCTCAGAACTATCAACATCTATAATAACAAGTTGCATAAGTAAAGATGTGGACATTACATACTTATCCTTTGTATCAGTATTTTCCTGTGTTTGCTTGCTAATGTCATCTGGTGAACCCACAGTTCTTGTTGAACCCGACCTTGAACCTAAGCCAATCGAAATTTTCTCAATCTTGGCCAGATTTTGCGATTCCGGCAGAAATAATCCTGTATGGATCCATACGATTAGCAGATGTAATTTTTTTTAAGACTTGCCTGCTTTGAGAACTGCACAAGTAGTTGTCACCATACCTTATGAGGTTTGTTTTCTTAAATTTTGTACATTTAACATGATTATGAAAAGCATTGTTTTCAAAGCAAGTATCCTACATTCAACTATCTCAAAACATTGCCAAAAGTAGTTGTTCGGGCGTTTATTGCTCGTCTTCATTTTCTACAAATATCAGGAAGTTGACACTCTTATGCGAATTAGGTATTTTCTTTTAAAACGAAAACGCAAAAAATACTTTATCCCTCTTGGGCAATAATATACCCCAAGTCGTTGCAAACACAACAATCAATACAACAAGTGTGTTGCCAACCGATATCATCAAAAATATTTCAATATAATTAATAAGAAAGCATGTTCATAATAGCCTATTTAGATCAAAATATTGATTTGATTATACCTAGTTATTTAAAACTGTAGAATCATGTAGTTATTTTAATTCCCAATAACATGAGATAAATTTTATTTGTTATAACCTTATTTAGCTACATAAATCATATTCCTGTAAAATACTGTACCTATTCAATCAGTGGTCGTTTCCAATTTGTGACAAAAATGTAAACTTAAGACTCTCTCTGTATGATCAGTGGTCATCATCCGTTTTATCCTTTGTACTGTGTTTTGGTTGTGGCTTGATTTTAATGCTATGATTGTTTACATTTACGTCGTTATTCTGTAACCATAATGGTAACCCGTAAAATCAACGTTGAAATGTAAAAAAAACTTTGAGTTACTTTTAAATTATATAGGCATTATCAAAAATTTAAATTGGTTTCGTCTAAACCTTTCAAACATTTGACATAACAACCTTGGTAAGTTTGACTAAAATATGTTTAGCCGTTATTGAGTTAATGTGTTAGGGAAGTCGATCCCAAAGAGCTTTGCTTCGCTCCTCTCAATACATAAAAAACCGTATCAACTGCATACTTGAATGAACTGTGTTGATTAGAAACTTCCCAAAAATTTTTTCATTAACTCTATCCTAAGGGAACAGCTTATAATTAAAGAGATGTATTTAATAACGATTGAAGTATTGAATACAGATGATACATTTTTTAATTGTTTCTTTACTTTTTTCCTGAGTTTGGAACTTTGGATTGGTACCATAAACTTTCTATATTGCAAAATGAAAAGTGACAATATGTTAGTCTTTTGATGTGATTGATGTGATTGATGTGAGAGGGTATTTACTTTTAGTGATCAAACATTTCAATTCTGTGTATATGGGTCTTCTAAAATTTTTATTGTTATGCAAATAATTAAAAATGTTTAGTTCCAGAATGTTGAGACCATGAATTGAACATCAGTATCCTTCAGTCAACCCTAAAATCTTGTGAAAATGGTCAATTCAAGCTTTAAAACACTGCAATACATAAAACACCTTAAACAACGCTCACTATCTAAATTCAATTAGGTTTAATTAAATACTCAGTAACCTCTCCATTGTACGCACGAGAGGATTAAACCATAAAGAGATTTCTTCCACCGGATAAGCAGCGAGGTAAAAAGGTCCGTTTAACAAGCGATAATTTATCCTTTATTTCTGAGCCCCTTATTTCACGAAAGTTGCTGGCCTGTTGGCTGGTATTAAGTCACGTGGTATGATAAGAGGGGAGGGGAGGTTTAGCCCCGAGCTGATATCTCACTCGGTTGGGCCGTTTCTATAAACAATTATAATTTCCCCGCACCTTCTTTATCGCCTGAAACACGTTTTTATTAGGGGTTCGGACGTAATAAAAATAGAGATTACACGTGTGGGCTTCTAGGACCTCTAGGTCACAGAGTAAAGACGTTTCTCAAATACTGTGATAAGAGTATTTTATTTGTTTACGGAGACAAAACTGTTTACAGTTTTACGATAGGTGGCAAGCAGAATAATTTATAAATACGTGAACTACATGACAAGGTAACAGTTACCTTAGAAGAAGTAAAAGAAGGCAGTAGGCCCACTATGTTCTATAATTTATTCTATGGCCTACCTTTACTTCTTATAAGGTAAGCTAGCAGCTATCCCTTCATTCTACAAATCAAAATCCAACCCTGATGCGTTTCCTTGAAAAACTACTTAAATAAAATGTCAACTACAGGTAAACAACTAAGGATCTATTTTGTAAACATGCAGAAGTTAAAAAAAAAAACTTGGAATATGAACTTGTCAGTAAAGTACTGACAAGGTAATTTGGACTTAGGAATATTCTTAAACACATCAAGAATATTGGCTCTAGGAAACGCATGCTAAAGACAAATCTCTAGGCAAATGTCTTAAAGAGATTCAACAACCCACACTTACCAGCCAAGAAGCAGTAGTCGTCCGGTGTGGGGCGGATGCACCCGTCATCAGGCTGATGGGTCTTGGGAGGCAGCAGAGGCTGGAGACCAAGGTCGTCGAAGACAGGGACGGTCCTAAGGAGGCCGCCCTGGAGAGACCTTAAGGAGTCGGCGACCTTGTAGCTCGAGCCGTACACGAAGTTGGCGTCTATGAAGGAGGTGAGGGAGTTGACCTGAACTCTGCTGCCTGGAAACAATCGATTTTTGAGCTAACAAAATTGTGCCTTTGGTTGAGTCGGTGACTCATTCGGTGGCAAAAAGACTTCGAAACTCGAGGCAGCGTGGGTTCGTGTGTTGGTAGTTCAAAACTCACTGCTCCAAAACATATTTTTGGAGAAGTGCCTTTCGAATCACTGCCTAACCCTTCAATTTTTTTCGGAGCGTGCATTTCGCAGTATTGTGTTTTGGAGCAATAAATTTCACAGTATTTGATTTTGGACCAGTACCTTTCACAGCATTTAATTTCGGAGCAGTGCTTTTCACAGTATTGTATTTTAAAACAGTGTCGTTTGCAGTGTTTATATTTCGGAGCAGTATCTTGCACAGTAATGTATTCTGGAGTGGTACCATCCGGAGTATAACAATACCCGAAGGCGTCACATATAACCTTCTAGAAGTTCTACTCGGTCAGAGGCTCAGTCTGTCTCTGGTCAAGAAGGATCATGTTTTACAGGAATAGTTAGAGTTTATTTTTATCACTAATTTAAACAGTTGAAACAGCCCCAGAAGGTTGTATTGTATCGCAATATCAGCTTCATCAAAGTTAACTAGATGTTGTAGATGTTTGTATAGCCTACAGAAATAAACAGAAACAAAATTGTCAACAAAATTATGTTTTGTTTACATTTGGTATTTGAGTTTTCCTCCGTCAATGGGATTTTCCACAACAGCTCAGAAACGGTCCAAATAAGTGTTTGTCTGGTCAACATCTAAAGTTGGGTTTTTACAATTACAAATAGCTCTAGGTCCAAACCAACCTCGCATCAAACCATCAACGTTTAGATTTGAAGGCGAGGACTTCAACTTCTCGTCTACCAAGAGTATTCAAACTTGTCTACAATTATATTTTTTACTGTAGGCCTATCGCATTTTTAAATATTGATAATATAAGTTACGAAACACACACACACATATAAATGAAGTAAGACCACATTTTCGGTAAATACGCGTGTATAAAAACAAAGTTAGTATTTGTATTCGGGCAAGCGATGGTCTTGACCGTTAAATTGGAGAAGCTCGCCGGACTGGAGGGGGGGATTGTTTGTTGTGTACACTCGGAGCAAACAACAACCCTTAACCCCCCCCCCCCCCCGCCATCCTGTAGGGTAAACAACTCCGCTCACAACAAGACTGTTTTGTTTACTTGATGTTGTAAACAACTAAACTTCTGCCGGAGGGATCCGACAATCCCGAGGATTTGCGAAGCCCGTTTGGAATCGCAAAGTTTTTATGTTTATTCTTTCGTGTTCTCGATCAAAAATATTGTTTTGCATACAAACATGTATCGATAAATTTATCGTCCTTCTTGTTTTATCAATTTTTTTGATTTAATAGATGTTTTTAGATGGATGGTTTATTTTGAAATCTTATATATTAAAAAATTTGGTTTTTCTGTTCCGAGTTCGTTTGGCTCTTCTACACGACCGATTTTCATGATTGAGGTCTCAAATTTAAGGTATGCACCCTCAGATTTGCCATCAAGCATTGGCATATATGTATCTATAAACCCACACGGGTTATACGTAAACTAAATTTTCTCCCCATGTATTTCTTATGGAAGTTGAATTTTGTTTATCTTTTCCGAGTTCGTTTGGCTGTTCCACCCAACCGATTTTCATGATTGAGGTCTCTAATTGAAGGTATTAACCCACAGATTTGCCATCAAGCATTGGCATATATGTATCTATAATCCCACACGGCTTATACGTAAACGAAATTTGCTCCCCATGTATTTATTATAGGAGTTAAATTTGGTTTCACTTAACTGAGTTCGTTTGGCTCATCTACCTGACCGGTTTGCATGATTTAGGTCTCAAATTGAAGTCATGCACGCAAAGATTTCACATCAAGCATCGGCATATACTTACTTACCTACTGTACTACTTGACTAAAAAAAAATAATTTGATTAATTTTCGAATTCTTACATCAATTTAAGATGTATTTCACCAGTTATAATTATATAATCCTATATATTTTGGTCTAAGAGCTTTCAGTAAAATATCGGCAAATATTTGCAAGTGACTAAGTATGTATCTGTCTATTCCCTGTAAGCAACTATCAGTGAAATGACATTGTTCATCTTTTAACCTATGTGTCTTGACAGGTTTACCTTGGAAATGTCATATTTTGATGCATTATTATTTATTTTATAAAAAGTAAAAATCTTTCAGAGTTTTTACTGCATGTCTTTACTTGCGTAGCTTATCCAACGTGTCACTAGGTTCGTGTTTTATCATGTAAGTACATTTAAATTCTTTGTTTTTGTCGTACATATAAATTTTTTAATAAGTAGAAGAGTAAATGTAACTTAATTCAACTAAACATTTTGATCTTCTTCTGCTTGACAACGTGGCCTAGTTTGGTAACATTTGTGGAAAATTTGCCGCTTGAATCGAAGCACAGATAGTAAACGTATTTATGTTTGGAAATACTTTTACAAACCTAAATAACGCAATACACTACTAGTTGTATTAGTGTAATTAATTAATTGGACTGTAAATACTTTTTTTCGTAGTAGAGCGTGCCTACGACTAGGCAATACCCGCATTACAGGCAAGTAGCCAAATCACGGCAGAACGCCTTGCCTTTTCGGTTTGCAGTAAATTTAATACTGTAAACTCTATCTCACCTTTGAAATTGTGAATTTAAATTGTGTTAATTTAATTAAATTTGAATAATTTCATTGACACTGATCTTTGAATATTTTATTTGAGCAAATCATTACAGCTTGTGTAACAATTTTTGTATACTCATTATTGGGAGAATTAGTGAATTTATATCTTTGTTATTTAAGACGTTGACACATACATTACAATACATCTAGACATTATTTTTGTTGTATTACTTGACCTAATATTTTTTCCTGTAGGTAATAGATATTAGGTCTGAATTCTGTTCACTTCTGGCCGTGAACTAACTCATAATATTGTTTATGGTTTCTGCTGTGATTTAATATACGTTTACATCCTTTATACATCTACAAACACTATGGATATTTTAACAGCCATTAACAGAAATGAGTCAATCCACATGAATTGGTCCAACAAAATTTTAATTTGTTGTTGGACCATTTTTCATCGTACTTATTTTTAGTAAATGCAAAGTTCATAACGGTGTTTAAGAGAATTAATTCTTTTAAGTTACCAAATGGTGGCCATTTTTGTTTAGTACCTTAAAACCATTGGGGATTTTGGGATTTTTACTATCTTTTGAGTAGACTAAGTCAGAGCAATAAAATGGGTATAAGTTTAACCATGAACGTCTTCTTCACAATATTGGTAATTAGCAATGATAACCTAAATGCCGAAATAACCAATCAAACCTACCTCCAAATTTAGGTAAAACTATTTTAAATTGCCTCTTTTCACTTTGGAGAGTACTAAGCATTGGGTAGTAGGCTATATCAAAGTTTACGCTTTTTTAAGGCTAGATGCCATAAAATACTACCATAATATCAAACAATAACTTGGACAAAGGGTTCCTCCATTTATATTTAGATATTCTTTCAATAATTGATTCTTTTCATTCAAAAAGTTTGATTTTAATATATCCGGTGTAACTCAACTTTAAAATCAGTTTTTTTAGATTTATCACATCTTTATTGTACCAAAATACAGAAAATTTTCACATTTGATATTTTACTCTGAAAATACTTATGAAACAAAACATATGTTTAGTCCGTATTATAGTGATTAAGACTTTATTGAAGCGAAAGTAAGCAAGTAAGAAACAGTTAGGTTATGTTTGCATCCCAGCCACCCCCTAACACGATTGCCACAACAAAACCAACACTCCCTAACCCCTCTGCCCCCCTGGTATGGCGTAAACAACACAGCTTCCAACCACTGCCTGTTGTATTTACCTACAACAAACAACAAAACTCCTGCTCTCCACTGCCTTCCGGATATCCGTCGCTGAAATGCTGCCGCCCCTTGCAACCATTGCCTGCTTGATTTAAACTTCTTTTGTTCATATTCACCTGGCGTAATTCTTTTGTTGGTCAAGAATAAACAAATAGCTTGCTGTGTGTGAGTGGTGATATACAGGGTGTTCATTTGAAAACTTTCCATATCTGTTGTGTGCAAAGGTAAGGCTTTTAACATTTGTTTGTTCTCATTTCCCCCTAATTTGGACATGCCAAATCCAATAAAATTATTTTCAATTTTGAAAAATGCCCCAAAAGGGCCCAATTTGGGGGGTAGGGGTGCTTTTTGAGAAATTTTCAAATGTAAACATGGGTTGTGTGATACATCAATTTAAAGGTCTAATCACCCCGATCATTTTGGTGCAAAAAAAGTTTAATTATCTTTAACCGTATTTACAGGGTGGGTCAAAACGTTTTAAAAAAGGACTTTGAAGTTAAGTACCGTATTACCCTAACTACTGAACGGAACAGCGCCAAATTTCTTTCCAAGCTTATTCTTGAGCTACTCTTTAAGATAACTTGTAGTAAGGGCATTTTCCAAGTTATTTTCTAATTTAAAAAAAATCTCAAATTTTAAGAATAAAAGAAAGCTGAAAACTCAAAATTCTTAAATAGCAATGTATAACAAATTTCATACCACAAGAAAGGTCCTTTTTTAACAAACATTTTACACATTTAAGTTTTCTTTCTATCTCTTACCGTTTAAAAATTGCAGTGGAAAAACATAATTTTCTATGGTAAAGTTATAACTAGTTTTCTAATAAAACACATTGCACTTTGTTCAACGATGTACTAGGATTCATAACAAATTGATCTACTACCTTTACGTGTGTCAGAATTCATCTTGGACCCTTCATCCTATTCTTTTCTCATTGGTAACTAAACCAGTTTCAGAAAACTTCCTAACTAAATCATTTACAGCCATACGACTCAAGGTTGTACCTGGATATCTATTGATAAACACTTTGAAGTTATCCTGGAACACTTTTGTTATGACCAATAGGTAAAATTAAGTCTATTTTTTTAAGTCTACACCATATTT